TCACAAATGTGGGAAAATGAAACAAGGCTGCTGAACGTAACTTCTCGGGATCCTCTAAAAAGTCCACTGAAAAAGTCTCAGTAAATGACCACCATTTTGCTGAGATTATATTTCATCTCATATTAGCCTATCCATTAAGTACATGTATTTTCTACATGAATACCAAGTTTCAAGTCAATCGGATGCATGGTTCAGTAGTTATAACGGAACATCCGTAAAAACCACTTTAGATTTATGTACTCATGTTAGTATAGTTATGAAAAATTCTACGTGGATTTAAAAATAATCTTTCACACAAACCTACACACACACACACACACGCGCTGAGCTTTAATGTGTTGATTGATTTTTATAGATGCAAATTTTGTAAGCATTTTATTTAAGGCGTAGAGAAAACGACTTGATAACAGTAATTCCCATAATTTTAGTTATTCATAGTTATTCAAATTAGCTTCTTCATTAGATCTGTGATTGTATTACGCGAACAGAATATAAGGAAGTAAAAACTTTTGCGTTACATAATTATCGTACAAGTTGTTAAGTATTTAACAATTATAATTAGTCAAATTGTCTTTCAAGAGATTAATGGACAACGTATTAAGTCAGAATTTTTTAATTTACTGGTGGCAGGTATAATTTCTTACTGGTGGTAGGATCTCTTGTAAGTCCGCGCGGGTAGGTACCACCGCCTTGCCTATTTCTGTCGTAAAGCAGTAATGCGTTTCGGTCTGAAGGGTAGGGCAGCCGTTGTAACTATACTGAGATCTTAAAACTTATATCTCAAGGTGGGTGGCGCATTTGCGTTTTAGATGTCTATGGGCTCCAGTAACCACTTAACACCAGGTAGGCTGTGAGCTCGTCCATCCATCTAAGCAATAAAAAAAAATTATTCATAGATGGGTAGATGAGCTCACAGTCCACCTGGTTAAGTGGTTACCGGAATCCATAGACATCTACAACGAAATCCCGCCACCCAGATTGAGATATGAGTTCTAAGGTCTCAGTATAGTTACAGCGGCTGCCCCACCCTACAAACCGAAACGCATTACTGCTTCACGGCAGAAATAGGCAGGGTGGTTTTACCTACCCGTGCGGACTCATAAGAGGTCCTACCACCGGTAAGAAATACTTGTACTATATAGTTGTTACAGGCGTCATGGTTAGCGTAAATGTGGCAAATAATATTATACTTTCTGAATTGTATATGTATCTACATGAAAATCTTATTTTAAAAACTAAAGATTTCAAAGGTTTTACATAAAAAAGATTTTTCTTCTATATATATGAGGCTTTAGTTCAATTTTGACGCTCGAAACCACGAGAAATGACTCACTATTACGTACTAATCTTTGATTTGAATTTAAATAACGCAGAATCTTATGTGGTTAGTTAGTAAACACACAGCTCAGACATTCAGATCATGAAAATTTTTATCTTTAATAAAAAAAAAACACATTCGAGGACCGCTTACTGTTTGTGAGTTACGGAAATATATTTCTAAGTACATAAAGGCATCGAAAGCAAAATTCGCGAAATTTTATCCACTGGTAGCCTAAAGGACTATTTCATTACAAAAGTAGATTTTCTACCTACTTTTTTTCTACATATTATTATCTCAGTAACCTCGAGGGGTTAAACTAGGTTCATCTAACGGGTAGGTGAGCTCACGGATTCAACCTGAGAGAATTTGCTAACACTAGCCTCAACAAGAGCAGTGCTTCGCAGAAATCACCACCGGATCGATATCGCGACCCACTGAAAAGATCCGGTAAGAAACTCAGTGGGCAAAAACCAGAATGTATTTGTTGAAGATAAACTTCACCAAACACATTATTTTTCCTTATTGGAACTTATTAAGTATAACTCAGTGTTCGTATTATTGTTGACTTCGTTCATCGTAATCCATGTAACATAAATATTCAATAATACATTAATACGCCCTAATAAGCACAAGTACCTGCAAGGCATAGTCACCGCTATCTATGGACATGGACAATACCATACCATAATATGTTAAGGTATTGTCTGGTATCTGGCTAAACTCAAAAACGGCACAATGATTTTATTATTAAAACTATTTTTACGGTTTAATCTGTTTTCAAAAAGGAATTCACGCATCATATGACTCTCTAGTCCTTAGTTGATTGCCACTGTGCTTTAGTCCATAAAGTTGGATAAAGACACAAAAAATTTATATTAAAATTTGGGAGCCAATGTGTCTGCGCGACACTTGGTTAATTGGCACTGAACTTTTGTGCATAAATCTGGATAAACGTACAACAATTTCGCATTAAAATTTGGGAACCATTGCGTCTCGCAACGAAAACCCAGAAATTGACGTAGTAAGTTTATAATTATTCAAATTGTCAGTCGATCATTGGATCTGATCAGGAAGGTCATCTGCGCTCACCTGCTTCATAAATAAGTCTACACACGTCTACGGAGATATACGTGAACTGAATACAAAGAGCAAGTTTAGTTTATGTAACTTACCAGTGTTAGCACATTCTCTTAGGTCGAGCCCCGTGAGCTCACCTACCACTCTCAGCACAGCTGGAATAGCCCCTTAGGCTACCAATGAACGGATAGGAAAAAAAACGGGTGGCTGTTTGGTTGTAATTGAATTAAGTTGTTAATTCTTCAAGTTAATCTGTTTTTAAAACCTAATCTGTACAACCGTGTTAACACTGACATTGTGGCTTTTGGCGGGAACGCGACGAGTGAAGTTGTGTGATTTGTTTTGTTTTGTCGATTTAGTGTTTCTTCAGGTTTAAATGTGTAATAATGGTGGCTTAATAGCTGTTTAATATCGGTGAAAGTGCACAAATGTGGGAAAATGAAACAAAGCTACTGAACGTAACCTCTCGGGATCCTCCAAAAAGTCAACTGAAAAAGTCTCAGTAAATTACCACCATTTTGCTGAGATTATATTATTTCATCCCATATCATTTCATCTCATTTCATTTTATTTCATTTCAGTTCATATTATCATTTTTCATAAAAATAAGAATATAAATTAAAATAAGACTTGACCTAAAGGTATTAGTTACCAGGTCATAAAATCCCTTAAAACTGAGATTGTATCATCATTCATCATTATCCTGCCCTTCTCCCAGTCACCTGGGGTCGGCGCAACAGGTTTTCTCTTTCCATACTCTTCTATCATATACCATTTCTTCGCTCACTCCCCTCCTACCCATATCGTCTTTCACACAATCCATCCATTTCTTCTTAGATCTACCTCTTCCTCTAAATCCTTTCACATTCATAGTTAACACTCTCTTAACAACCTCATTTTCATTTCGTCTCATCACATGTCCATACCATCCCAAACGTGCACTCCTCAGCTTCTCTGTCACAGGTGCCACTTTTGAAACTGAGATTGTATATTGTACAAAAAAATTTACGACATTTCTAACGAGAATTCAGACCTGGAATCAAAGTCCAGTTATTTCATAGTCATCTTTGACGATTCTAACAAGGAAGCGTTCGAACCAGATGCTCAGAAAATGTATTGGAAAATTTTTAAACGCAATTACTGACTAGATCTTATTATTCGTTTGATGGTCCAACTTTCACGAAGATTTTTTTTATTACGAAGATAATTTACAGTTTTTTATAAAGATCTATATGCTTACAAGCTTAAAGATGTAAAAGCGAAGAGTTTATTTTCGATTAAAGATGATTATCGCAAATATGAATCTTCCAAGAGCTAATCCGATAAATTCGCACAGCGATCCCATTTGCGCTAATGAATTCAAAAACAATTGTTTAAAAAAAATAAAAAAATTATCCATCATCTTTTTTAAGGTTCAATTAAATTTTTTGTACGACACCGATTACTATTTTAAAATTTTTAATGTAAAATATGTACGTTGTTACATCCTGAACGTATTACGCATCTTTCAATGTCAGCGGTCAATCGTCGATTTAAATTTTTGAATTGTTTGTTATATAGGAACTCGTTTGGATATTAAATACGCATAATATAATAATTTAACAAGTCCGAATATATTTTAAAACATGCTTATTAATCCTTTGCCTAAAGGGCCTAAAACCCTTAAAGCGGTGAGTGACTAAACGGATCTTTTTTTTTTTTATTGCATCGATAGGTGGACGAACTCATAGCCGACCTGGTGTTAAGTGGTCACCGGAGCCCATAGACATCTACAACGTAAATGCCGCCACCCACCTTGAGATATGAGTTCTAAGGTCTCAATAAAGTTACAACGGCTGCCTCACCCTTCAAACAGAAACGCATTACTGCTTCACAGCAGAAATAGGCAGGGTGGTGGTACCTACCCATGCGGACTCACAAGAGGTCCTACCACCAGTAATTCGGTACGCAAGGTAGATTTAGTAGTTGCTCAAGTTGCCCCGATCTAGTCCGACCAGCCCGCGAGGTCTGATCCGCACCCCCCTTTACATTCCTTTGAGAACTACCTTTAAAAATTGCCATGTGCTGTAACGCACACACGTGCCTTTGATTAACAGCAGAATAGATAACAGTCACTTTTCATTTAAGATCAGTTAGTTTCGTTTCATTTCCTATTAATTTCTTATTGTCGTTATTTGAGTACGAGGTCATTTTGTTTCGAAGCCACTGCGTTAATCCATAGTGCGTTGCCAGAGATCTGCTACGCATCATTCGGCTCTGGTATGAACTCCCCTCTACGGTGTTTCCTGAGCGCTATGACATTTGACATATTATTATGAGCTCTTCAGACGAAGTTCGCGAAGAGTTCTCAGTAGGCAGCGGATTACTCGTGCATTGCTGATATCCACGAGCGACTGAACTAATGAACTAACTCATGACTAACAACAATTATACACTCATCACAAATCAGTGGTGACTGACCAAAAAAAAGACGCAAGATTAAAAACTAAAAGTAGTTTTAATTATTTCTATGTAAATCTTAATTAGAAAACGTTAAATCTAATATGATATTGTAGCTTTTGAATATCATTTAAATTAAATGAGTGATCTTTCTCATTTACAGTGGTCAACGGGTACGAGTCTGATCGAGAGGAGTGGAGGACGAGTCGCTCCCAGTTCTCGACGACGGCCTTCGACAGTCTGGCGAGACCCACGAAAATGGCCATGGCGCTCACCCTACGGAAGCCGCAGAGAGTCGAACCGGTGCCGTACTACCGGCTCCCAAACGAACCGAAGCCAAAATTAACCCCGGTCCCCTTCAGGCCGAATAACTTCGTCCAAAGAGCGCCCAGGTTACCCAGGCCGAGTCCAGAACCAAAACGGAACTTACTCAACACCGAACACAGGAAGTTCACGTCACTACAAAACCTAGAACTGCCGAAGAAACTCAGCGAAGCCCCCAAGAAAACAGAAACGAAAAAGATTAATAATTACGCGAACCTGACGAATAAAATAACCGGGATCACGAGTAAACTGCGGGATTTGGGCAACCACAGCAACACGTTAGGTAGATTCAGGGCCCAGTCTCACGGGGACGTCGCCAATCTGAAGCCAGTATTGAAAACGAACGCCATAGATGGAGGGAAACGCTCCGTCGTAAGGACTTGCAGTGTAGAGCCACCAAAGAAGGTTACATTTAGCGCTTTCGCTACAGTCCAAGTAGTCTAATTAAAATTTGAACCCAAAACAATTATTTATCAGCTTCCAATAATAATTAAGGCTTAATATTCGCACGTTTCTGTTCCGTAGTCTTAATGTAATTTATGATTTTATTTTTAATGTTTGGCAAGGCCGGGCTCTGTGTAAATATATTGTTTGTATTTCGTAATTGTAAATGTATATTGTAATTTTATTGTATTTAATCTGTAATGTTACTTATTTTTTGTTATCGTATGGGCGATTTAATTTTTCCTTCAATGTTGATCGAATGACTTTAAGAGGCATGTCTATGGCTCCCAAAACTGGTAAGAAAGGTTGAGAGCCGCTGGCTTAAACTAATACGGTCTTTGTTGTTCGTTTGAGTCAAAAAAATATAGTCTTAAATGCTCCGTATGAGCATGTAATGTAAGGCAATTAAAACTCAACCGTCTTGTATGCCTAGAAGGACAAGGAAAGAGATCCGTCAGCTACCTTTATATCACAATACGAGAACTCTATCACTCAAAAAATTGAGTGAATATTTCAGGGCGTATTTAAGTCGTAGGCTCTTTTTTCTATCAAAACTTTTAAATGCGCAAACACAATTATTGGTTATCGTTAGAATTCTTACATGATCTGAACATTGGAATGTTTTTTTTACGCGACAATCCTATCTTGATAGTCTATGTTATGATTGTCTATGTAAGTGAACATTAATGGTTTGGGTTATGGCTTAGGAAACTGTTCCCTTCTGGGAAGCATAAGCCGATGTTTGAGGTATTGCTTGCATTCATAGTCTAACCTTTTATTTTCTATAGCCGCAGACACGGGCCCAATGTACTCTTACGTCATCGTCGACAATACGTAATCTTTCTATTTTTTAAATGTCAAATGTCATTTTAGTAATTTGTCGAATAGTTTCTATGCTTCGAATGGTCAATTACGCGGGAATCCGTTGATTTCCATATCTAAATTCATTTGCATAGATTATCTTTTGTAGTGATGTGGATGAGATCTAAAATCGAAAATAAATTAAAAATCCGTTTAGAGATTTGAAAGGAAGATTTGAGAGAGGAAGTTTGAAAAGTTTGAAAGGTATTTAGTACTAGATGCAGAGTTGCGAAAAATTATTATAACGGTGTTGGTGACGTCATCGCCTTCAAAGTGCGAGCAGTGTGAGAGAGATAGGGAGATAATCGCAGAACGCACCATCACGCTTACCTTAATTTTCATAGTTATGTCTTGAGACGCACAGTCTTCGCAGTTTCAAAATATTCAATCTTATATTTCGTGAAATGCTCAAATGAAATGCCACCAATCTTAGTAAGATTGTTGTCGGTCAGTTTCGCTCTGAAACGTAAATATGAAATTCACAAAAGAAATTATTAATATTTATTGTTATTTATTTATCGAATGTGAATATTATAGACAGTAATAACGCGATTTGGAAAATTGGCGTTCTTCAATGGGAATTGTTTTCGCTTTAGAATGTACCTTTTGTATTTTTAAGTTCTTTGATAGTGATGCCTTCGACTCGATGCTCATTAAAAAAAAACCACGTATACTGTTATTATTTACGGCTAACGGTTACTCGACTTTTCAGTCTCTTTAATTGTTTCAAGATTATCTTTTCAGTATAATTTGCTAAGGGTCAATGTACTTTACAACTACGATGAAAATAATAATATCATATATTATTATAACTTAGTTTCTTTTATTAATGTTCTTATTGTTTGGGTCTAAACTTTTTTTAATGATTAAATTTTTTATTATTTAATTAAATTCTATTAATATCTATGAATTATTTTATTGATTGGTTTCTTAAATGATTGTTCTAGACTTTCTCGTGTGACATCTAGTCTGTAAAATATAATTGGAAAAAAGTCAATTCGAATACAAAAATGTTGTTTAAAAATCTTCTTTTTTAAAACATAAACTTCTTTGGAGTTAAATTTTGACGTATAATTTGTTTGGAGAAATCTAATTTATGATTTGATTGTTTTTAATGTATTATATTATTTACGAATTAATTAGTACAGGGCGTATGTAAGTAATATTATTAAATTGTAAAATGTAGTAGTATTACATAAGTTTATATAATAGTTTTTATTATCAAACGTTGAATGTGACTTTAAGTAGTGAGTGCTTTTTTTTTAATTTTAATTTCTTGCAACACTGTTGTGTTTCGTCTGTATTTCGAATAAAAAGTAATTAGTCACTATACATATTCCATAGACCCATATTCACTATACTAGCTAGACGCGGCCCGTCACTATAATGACATTTTCATTTTATTTAGTTTTACTATATTAATACGTATTTTTATCAATGGATTTTCTCTCACACAGACGCACGCGGGTACGTTAACAAAAATATCTGTTCTTATGAAAAAATAAATGTATCTTTTTATTCTTTTAAATGACCGGGAACGCTGACTTCTGTAATTCTATGCAACGTATTACTGTACCTAAATCTTAAGAAAGAAACTGCGTGCGTTCCACAGCTTCTCGTAAAGTTAACGCGGGAAATTTGAAAAAAAAAAATACATATATGATATGTATCCGATTAATTCTTCTTTTTTTTTTAGTTTGGCAACTCATTTAGTAATACCAATTTCAAGAAAAGACATTTTATCAAGCGCTTGCATTTGCTTTAAATTTTACGATTACCGTACTCTGTTTAAATTATTATATAATTAATTAAAAAAATAAAATTAATAATATTTTACGGTAACGATTTGAGGATTCATTTTATTGCGGATAGATGTCACTGCAAGTTACACTCTCACAAATCGGTGTGCTTAGTGCGAGTTTTTAGTTTAACGTTCTCGATAGCGTAAAAGTTAGCTCATATTTGTATGGAATGGGATCGTTTGCCTACGTTTTTTTACAATTTTTCTAATGAAATACGTACTCAACAAATGTTCACGATTGACTTCCACGGTGAAGGAATAACATCGTGTAATAAAAGTGAAACCCGCATAATTATAATTTGCGTAATTACTGGTTGTAGGACCTGTTGTGAGTCCGCGCGGGTAGGTACCACCGCCCTGCCTATTTCTGCCGTGAAGCAGTAATGCGTTTCGGTTTGAAGGGTGGGGCAGCCGTTGTAACTATACTGAGACCTTACAACTTATATCTCAAGGTGGGTGGCGCATTTACGTTGTAGATGTCTATGGGCTCCAGTAACCACTTAACATCAGGTGGGCTGTGAGCTCGTCCACCCATCTAAGCAACAAAAAAAAAAACCGTTTGCCGCTAGGGGCGCTGTTCCAACTGCATACAAAATTGAGTTAACTTTTACGTTATCGAGAACGTTAAAAAACTCGCACTAAGCACTCGGTACATAGAACTTTCTCGAAGTTTTTCACTCATTTCTGTTTAAATGTTGCTATATGTTGTTCCGTTTGAAATGGTCCAGTTAAAATTGTACGATTACCATACTCAATTCAAATTTTTATATTTATTAAAAAAATAAAATTAATAATATTCTTACGATAACGATTCGAGGTTTGACTTTATTGCGGATAGATGTCACTGCAAGTTACACTCTCACAGATCTGTACACAGAACTTTCTCGAAGTTTTTCGCTCAGTTGCTACTAAAATGGTCCAGTTGGACCTTAAATCTCTAAAAACATTCGGATACTATTTATAATCTGATGGTCCCACAAAACTATACGGTTCATTGTACAATAAACGTTTATAAGATAATATTTCCCTTACTTCGAGTTTTTTAACTTTCTCGATAGCGTTTTTTTTTTCTACCTAAGCTGAGAGCCTTGAAAGGTTATATCAGCGTCGCCTTAACTAGTAGGTGAGCTCACGGGGCTCAAACCTGATGACGTTGCTAACACGAACCCTAGCAAGAGCCGTGCTTCGTAGAATCTACCACCGGATCGGAAACGCGACCCACTGAGAAGATCCGGCGAGAAACTCAGTGGGCTGTGTCTGTGGGCTAATTTACTCGCCGAGCCCTTCGTCGCAAGCGACGGGTTCGACGAGAACGATGACCGGCCCGATAGCGTAAAAGTTAACTTAAATTTGTATGGAGTTGGAACAGCTTCCCTTCGTTTGCCGCTAGAGGCGCTGTTCCAACTTCATACATATTCGAGTTAACTTTTACGCTATCGAGAACGTTAAGAAACTCGCACTAAGCACACCTTATACAGGTGGCGGTTTATTGTTTAATGAGCTTGTATCACTTGGTTAATGTATTCGAGTCGTCTAATTAACTCCTGCAGCCACTAATCTTCTGACTGAATCTATGCGTGTGGAACTTCAAAATCAAGATTAAAATTATCAGTTGTTGTTTGTTTATTGAAATTGTCGCACAAAATCGGGTGTACAAACTAGATTAACTTGTGGCGAATAAGACGCGTACTAATTCGTAACGGCTATAATGATAACGATATTATTATGGATCTATGTGTTATTTTAATGTTTGTATTCATTCAGTTTTAAGTGAATTTTTTGAGCTGTCAGTATTTGTGTTGCAATTTGGTTTATTGATCATTTTGTTCGCGGTAATACCATTTAATTATCAGACGCAGTTAGTGTCCGAGAAAATATTTCATATTTGGGGGTCTGCATGCGTTCTTGTCTTATATACATTTAAGGCAGCCGGTGTTTTTTAAGGTAACAAAACAGAATCAAACTTCAGGGTCGTTGGATGTAGGAAATTTGTGGTTAATTAATTGATTTGCACATTACAACGGATAAAATTGAGGCTGTCCGCGCAAAAGTGGTCTTACCCACAATTTTTCATATTCGCGCTTATACTTATACTAGCGACCCGCCCTCGCTTCGCTTCGGAAACATTAAATTTTATTATTGATAGTTAAGTCCCGAGATGTACGCGGTACGACAATAACCGCGGGTGACGCCGGCGAAGCGGCGGGCGAAGCTAGTCTAAGAAAAGTAGCCTGAGTTACTCCTTATATCATCAGCTATCTGTCAGTAAAAGTCCCGTCAAAATCGGTCCAGCCGTTCCAGAGATTAGCCGGAACAAACAGACAAATATTGTAAAAAATGTTATTTTGGTGTATGTACCGTATAAAAAAGCGGTTATTTCAATATTGCAAACAGACACTCCAATTTTATTTATATGTATAGATTGCAATATATTTAAGACATATCAAATAAATTTGCAAAACCGGCCTATCCCTAGTCTCACCCATAGAGAACAGATGGCTTTGTAAACATTATTTTTGCACGTACTGTTTTTGCCTACGAAGTAGTTAGTGTAAAAGTAAATTCAAACCTCATTATCTCCATACTAACTGTGGTAAGCTTAGACCACTTTTGTGCTGAAGGCCTCAATTAAACATAGAGTAGTTAGTACTGTGTATGTATCTATGATGCCGGCGTTGCCAAATTGAAATACATATGCACATACAATACATACATACATAGCTATAATGTCACTTATGCGATTCTTGTTAAAACTGAACTGTGTTTGAGAAAATCCATTTATCTATATATATAAAAATGAATTGCTGTTCGTTGGTCTCGCTAAAACTCGAGAACGGCTGGACCGATTTGGCTAATTTTGGTCTTGAATTATTCGTGGAAGTCCAGAGAAGATTTAAAAGGTAGATGAAAGTGCTCGGAATTAAATAAAAATAACAATTTTGTTTTCACTTTGATGTGTCCCCCTTCGGACGGATTCCTTTTGTTTGTTTGTTTTAAGCTTATTTTATACAAAAGTTTAGGTCTTTTATTTATCGATTGAGGCACTACGAAGTTTGCCGGGTCAGCTAGTTTCTTAATAGTTATTAGTGAGATGTTTGCTTTTACTGATTCTCTTTTCCCTGAAGCTCTGCCCCCAACTATGCAATAAAAATAAAAATAAGAATTCTTTAATCGAGAATAACTATATAATTGTAATAAGATGTTGAATTTACAAATTCTTCACCTGAAAAATTACATAATTTGCATAAGTGACGTTATAATAATATGTATGCACTGTATGTGCGATATATCAACACATAAAATAAATGTAATAAGAGCATTGTATCATAGAACGTAAGTAATTTTAGGAAATAATATTATTTGTAAATTAATAAGTAATATGCGTGTTGTAATTTTAATTGTAATAATCGTTGTAAAATATTTTACTTGTTTAAACTTAATATTGTTTTCATTAATAAAAATGTTTGTTTTGATGACATTTGTCTTAATTTAAAAAAAAAAATTCATTGTCATTTACTCCTCTATTCCTCAGCAAAGCCGTCAGCTTTGGAAAGCAATAGAATTAACTCCGAAAGAGAGAGAGAGAGAGACACTTTATTGCACACCAAAACACAATTTACATTCAAAAAACAATAAAAAAAAGCAGATACATCTGTACAATAGGCGGTCTTATCGCTAAAAGCGATCCCTTCCAGACAACCGTTTAATTTATAGAAATTCTGGAAAATATAAAAATATAGCAGGTATGTTGTGGTGTACTATAGATAATAATACATTATTATAGAAAATATATACATACAATAAACAAAATATATACCGTTTACATATAATATGAAATATATACCAATATTTATATACCAATATACATACTTACATACAATACATACTAATATACTTACATTTATATACACATAATACATCAACAGTATGGAAATAATAAACAACAATGCAAACAAACAGCACTAAGCAGATAAGTAGTGTTCCTTCACCATTCTTTTAAAAGAGTTTAAAGTTTCGGTAGGCAGCGGCTTGGCTCTGCCCCTGGCATTGCTGAAGTCCATGGGCGACGGTAACCATTCACCATCAGGTGGGCCGTATGCTCGTCTGCCTACAAGGGCAAAAATAAAATAAAAAAGTTTGAGCACTTCTCCCTGCATCCGGCAGAGCATTCCACAATCGAACCGCCTGAACGGCGAATGAATTATCAAAGAATGATGATGAATGCGCCGGCATTTTCAGTCTCAGGCTATCCGATGATCTCAGGGAAAAAATATGTGTATCACCTAGAAACTCGAAACGTTCTTTGAGATATGTGGGGTTATGGGGGTTAAAGAGAGTACAGTATAGTAATGAAAGGACATGAGTATTCCGAAAGAATTGTTTCTTTAGATTAAAATAGTGTTAGTTGCCATGCTTAAATATTATTGTACTACAGAATAATACATTAAATATAGCCAATTGCCATACCGAAAAAAGAAGATCTGAATAGCATTATCAATAATAAAACATTCACGTTGATAAATTCTTGTCAAATACGATAATATTATGATAACCTCGACATAATTCAAGGTTTAATTAGATTTACCGGTTTTTCATTTGATAATTATGTATTAATAAACCAGAATTCGTACTGGTCGACATGTAAGCTTACGGACTGCGTCAGAGTTAGTATAGAATGAAAAAAAATGAACGAAGATTTGCGATGTGTTTCCATATATTTTGTCATACCATTTACCGTCTCGAATGGGAAGATTAAGATTAGACATTAATACGGGAAAACTGTAGATTTTTATTTGGTGTTCTTTATGGTAATGCTATATAGTTAAATACATGGACGAAAGAGCTCACAGTTCAACCGTTCTTAGGTTATCGAAATCTACTCTCGCCTAGAACGCGAATAGAATTTTTACAACCCGGTTTTATTGTACAAAATAATTCGGTCCCTATTAATTAAATAGTAAAGATAGATCCAGCGGTAGTTTTTTTTTTTGCTTGTATGGTTGGACGAGCTCACAGCCCACCTGGTGTTAAGTGGTTACTGGAATCCATAGACATCCACAACGTAAATGCGCCACCCACCCTTAGATATAAGTTCTAAGGTCTCAGTATAATTTTACAACAACTGCCCCACCTCTCAAACCCAAACGCATTACTGCTTCACGGCTGAAATAGGCAGGGCGGTGGTACCTACCCGTGCGGTCTCACAAGAGGTCATACCACCAGTAATTACGCAAATTATAATTTAGCGGGTTTGATTTTTATTACACGATGTTATTCCGAAGCACTGCTCTTGCTAGGGCTAGCAAGTTAGCTAAACTAAATCATTGTTGAACTTTTATAACCTTTATAACACAGAACTTTTATAACACAGCTAGTGTTAGCAAATTCTCTCAAGTTGTGTCCGTGAGTAGCTGAAATAGCCTCTTCTGCTACTAGCTATTAGGTAGGAAACAAAAAAAGTTATTTGTTTGCAATATGCAGTTGAAAATATACAATTCGCTATCAGTCCAACAGATCACAGGTCAGAGTATTTCGACAATTTAAATATAAATGTAATTTCATTATAATTAGCATGTACAAGACCTCGTCGTAAGGAATTAACATTTTTTTATTGTTTAAACTCTTGACAGGACTCATGGCCCGCCTTATTTTTAGTGATTACCAGAGCCAGAGCTTATTGACAATACCGCCGCCCACCTTGAGATATGAGTACTAAGCCTCAGTTTTATAGTACAACGGCTACTTCATCATTTAAACTTTTTTTTTCCTGCCTAAGCTGAGAGCCTTGAGAGGCTATATCAGCGTAACCTTAACTAGTAGGTGAGCTCACGGGGTTCAAACCTGACGACGTTACTAACACGAACCCTAGCAAGAGCCGTGCTTCGCCGAATCTACCACCGGATCGGAAACGCGACCTACTGAGAAGATCCGGCGAGAAACTCAGCGGGCTGTGTCTGAGAGTTAATTTACTCTTCGAACCCTTCGTCGCAAGCGACGGGTTCGGCGAGAACGATGACCGGCGCTTGAGGTACCTAAAAGCACCGTTAGTGGATCGGGAGGATCCGAAATGACGTGTTTGGGGCTACGTCGACTGCTTTCCATTCTGTCCGCAGGATCGGGAATGTAGTTACCGGCGGCCACGATGAGAGGGTTCTCGTGTCGTGCCGCTTTATCGAAGTGGCATTTAAACTAAAAAGCTGCTTTCGTATCAGAAATAGGCAGGCTGATGGGACCCACCCGTGCGGGCTCAGAAGACCCTACCAAAAGTTCAGAAATTTCCTTGTCAACGCATACTATTGTATAAAATGCTATTCGGTTGCTTATAGGTACTCCATGTATCGGCNCGGCCACGATGAGAGGGTTCTCGTGTCGTGCCGCTTTATCGAAGTGGCATTTAAACTAAAAAGCTGCTTTCGTATCAGAAATAGGCAGGCTGATGGGACCCACCCGTGCGGGCTCAGAAGACCCTACCAAAAGTTCAGAAATTTCCTTGTCAACGCATACTATTGTATAAAATGCTATTCGGTTGCTTATAGGTACTCCATGTATCGGCTTCGAAGAGTTCGACCTGCGACTTAACCCATAGAATTTGTCATCGGATCTTCTCAGTGGGTCGGGATTCTGATGCGGAGGTTCAGCGAAGCACCGCTCTTGTTAGGGCTAGTGTTAGCAATTCTGCCGCGAATTAGTGATGCGTTTTGGTTTCAATGTTCGAATAGACTTACAAGGAAAATTGAGTCTGACCCGTGAGTCAACGGTTTGAGATCCATGGGCTTTAGTAACCAATTGGCACTAGATACTCTTTAAATGGTACCCAAATTTAGTAAAAAGAAAAAAAACCTATTCCGATATTGTTAATTTCTCAAACATGACTCCTTATTGCGTAAACACATCCGATTACGTAATGAGAAAAACAAAAAACGTATATCTTATTCAGACATACCTAATAATTCTGTTATCAATATTCGACATATTTTTGTAATTAAGAAGACGCTTAGTATTTTTTTGGCGATCATACAGACACGACGTATTGTAAGTAAGATTTTATTAATGCAATAAGTACATACTTAACGCGTTCTCATTTTGCCCAGCTATTAATACAGTTGTGTTATTCATAAGCTTCAAGCCGATTTGCAGATTCGTTGGTACGTAAAATGATGAGTCAACGAAAACCATGTCATATTTAACATCATCATCATTCTCCTGCCTTTCTCCCAGTCACTTGGGGTCGGCGCAACATGTTTTCTCCTTCCATACTCCTCTATCATATACCATTTCTTCGCTCACTGCCCTCTTATGCATATCGTCTTTCACGCAATCCATCCATTTCTTCTTAGGTCTATCTCTTCCTCTATATCCTTCCACATTCATAGTTAACACTCTCTTACCAACCTCATTTTAATTTCGCCTCGTCGTATCCATACCATTCCAAACGCGTACATCTCAGCTTCTCTGTCACAGGTGCCATTTTCAGACTCCTCTAACATATTCATTTCATATTCTATCCATTCTCGTTACTCCACACATCCATCGCAACACTCCCATCTCTGCTGCATGCAATCGCCTTTCATAACATAAAAAATTATAAAATTTTTACACATATACCGTCCGTTTGCAATTCATGTCATTTGCTATGGTAAAAAGTAGCCTATGTGCAGAATAAAATCCAGGTTACAAACTATCTTTTTGATTTATCTGATCCAAATCCATTGACTTATGTTTGCATTATTATTGCAGTATCCATCTGAGAACACATACTTTTTTTTTGTTGTTGCTTAGATGGGTGGACGTGCTCACAGTCCACCCGGTGTTAAGTGGTTACTGGAGCCCATAGACATCTACAACGAAATACGCCACCCACCTTGAGATATAAGTTGTTGTTGTTGTTTTTGTTTTGTTTTAAAACCTATGCTGATACCCTTGAGAGGCTATTTCAGCTTCGCCCTTACGTTTGTAGGTGAGCTCACGGGGCTCAAACCGGAGAGTTGCTAACACTGACCCTAGTAAGAGCAGTGCTCCGCAGAATCTACTACCGGATCGGAAACGCGACCCACTGAGAAGATCCGGCGAGAAACTCAGTGGGCTGTGTCTATGGGTTAATTCGCTCGTCGAGCCCTTCGTCGCAAGCGACGGCTTCGACGAGGACGATGACCGGTGCTTGTGGTGCCTAAAAGCATCGTTAATCGTTTGAAGTCGTCGTGGCCTAAAGGATAAGACTTCCGGTGCATTCGTGTGTAGCGATGCACCGGTGTTCGAATCCCGCAGGCGGGTACCAATTTTTCTAATGAAATACGTACTCAACAGATGTTCACGATTGACTTCTACGGTGAAGGAATAACATCGTGTAATAAAAATCAAACCCGCAAAATTATAATTTGCGTAATCACTGGTGGTAGGACCCCTTGGGAGTCCGCACGGGTAGGTACCACCACCCCGCCTATTTCCGTCGTGAAGCAGTAATGCGTTTCGGTTCGAAGGGTGGGGTAGCCGTTGTAACTATACTGAGACCTTAGAACTTATATCTCAAGGTGGGTGGCGCATTTACGTTGTAGATGTCTATGGGCTCCAGTAACCACTTAACACCAGGTGGGCTGTGAGCTCGTCCAACCATCAAAGCAATAAAATAAAAAAATAATAATAATGGATCAAGTATAAGTTGTAAGGTCTCAAGTATAGTTACAACGGCTGCCCCACCTAAATAATACATTAATACGACTTAATAAGCACAAGAAACTCAGTGGATTATTTCTACGACCCGCCAAAACTATACAACGATACAAAACTAGTTTATGTTTATCAAGTACTTAACATTTGATTTCATTTTCTGTTCCCAGAATCATGTCTTTGGTAGCACAAGCATTCGAAGCTAGCAAAATAGTGCCGGATGTTATTCCCGTCGCTCCAATTAAGAACATTGAGGTAATCTATAGATAAATAATATTATAATAGTAATAATAAAGCCTCTTATTTCCAGTAAATTTACATAACTTAAAATCTATGTAGATGATAGTTTTTTTTAAATTAGTATTAGTTTTGTTAGTATTTTAATATCATTTTTAATATAGCTATTATATAGCTTATTAATATCACTTATTTAGTATAATTGAGTCGTCTATTATCAAAGGTGGCGATCTGTGCATTTGGACAAAAAAATGTTATTGATATGTCAATACAGATTGATTTGAATATAATCATCTCCTTCAAAGAATACGGTTCAAAACCTGCATTAAATAAAGGTTAATACTTAACCTGTTATTTATCTAAGATGTCGTTCAGAAGAGTTTTGTGACTGCCAATGGAATACAAAGTCAATAATTCGTTTTTCTGATTTACCAATAATTGTCCAAAAGTCACATTGCCGGCTTTGATAATAGTCGACTCAATTAGTAGTTATGTTTACTTAATATTATGTAGTTATGTTTAATATACAGGAACCCAAACATAGATAAACAAACAATAGTAAATAAATCTAATCTAGTTTATAATCCGCACGGTGGTCGGCAAGAAGTGGATGAGGAGAGCCGCAGACCGGGCTCAGTGGTGTGGATTGGGAGAGGCCTATGTCCAGCAGTGGACGACTGTGGGCTGTTGATGATGATGATGATAGTTTTAAAAATACTAAATAATATTAAGATAATAATACTGTTCCAGGATTTTATTTTAGTTCTTAATCGTTTTTTGTTTAGAAGAATGCACGTGTTTATGAATATATAATTTGTTATCGAGTTATTGATTCATGATAGATTCGTTTTGATAATAAATAACGAGTATGTTGTTTTAAATATATAATCTATAGGCAAGAATTCGTTTAGCCGATAACTGATATCATTTGTCTAGACACGCATTAATTTAAGTTCGGACGCATACTGTACGCCAGTTTCCGAAAAAAGCCGGCTGTGTTTGTCTTTATTGTTTTTTTTAACGAGATCACACAGGATACTGTGGTCACAGGAGACCGTCGACATAACAACATGAATGCCGTTCTTCTTCTTCTCAATCGTGTCACTCTTGAGAGAGTGGTCGTGATCGTCACGTAGTGTTGGAATGGGCAGACTTGATGCGTCTCACGATGTCCCGCCATCTGTCCCTGCTCGAGGCTATTCTACTGCACTCATTTAGGGGACCTCCTACTGCAGTTTTAATTTGGTCGGTCGACCGCATTGCTGACCTCCCGCCAGGTCTTGTACCATCAACCCTTCCCTGTACAACGAGGCGTTTTATGGACCGGCCATCTCGTCGCGAAACGTGTCCGAAGAAATCCACCATTGGAGACTGTACTATAGCAAATAGACGCTGCTTGATGCCGAGTTCTTGAAGTATCGAGACATTTGTAAGAAAGTCGGTCTACGAAACTCCAAGCGTTCTTCTCCAGTACTACATTTCCAGAGCGTCTATTTTCTTCCTTTCCACATCTCGCACGGTCCGTTAGCCATCTAATCTTCATCATCTTCTCTCCAATGCCGTTAGCCATCGCCTAATCCTTAACTTGATCTAGGTTATCAGTAGTGGTGGAAATTTGCGAAAAATCACACGTGTTTGTGCCACCGTTCTGGTACGAAGTAATTAAGGACCCTGAGTGAAGAATAGACTGATCTTGCAACCTCATTTGTTTAAGTAGGCAGCAATCTTTTTTTGTGTATGTATTTGTAATTTGATATAAATTTCATTGTATCTACCACTATTTACTCTACACTACCTTTGGTTGAATGGTAGAGAATACCTTTTACATGCCAAATACGAATTACCGCCAATGTGAAATTTTACATGAAGTGTAATAAACAAATAAACATAATTATATATACATTCCGGCTCTCGCAGTAAACCGGTGGTGGACAACTGCGAATCGTAATAGGAAAAATAATACTTGAAAATATAACTTATAGGTTTATCGATCGACTAGCGACCCGCCCTCGCTTCGCTTCGGAAACATTAAAACACACATGAAACCAAAAAAATAAAATAATTTTTTTTTTTTTTAAATTTAGCCTATGTTCATCAGTGACAATGTCGGCTTCTAATGGAAAAATAATTTTTCAAATCGGTCCAGTAGTTTCGGAGCCTATTCGAAACAAACAAACAAACAAATCTTTCCTCTTTATAATATTAGTATAGATATAGATTTTTGTAAAATTTTATAACAAAAATAAATCATGTCATATAATAATATGTACTTTATTTAAACAACGGTGAATGCTAAGATTTCATTCTGTTCCGATTTTATTTTGACAGGAAGACCTTAAAACCAATATTTCTAACAATGAAACTAACTCTACAGTCTAATATAAAATATCTTGTTTCAAAGTCGGCTAAAAATTTTAATAACATTCGTAATGTATTTCAGCTTAAATACCCGAGCGGTGCCATAGCGTCTCAAGGAAATGAGCTGACTCCGACACAAGTGAAGGATCAGCCTTCTGTCACTTTTGAGGCCGAGGCTGATGCTTTTTATACGCTCGTGTTCACGGGTAAGATCAATCATATGAAATTCTTTTGATTTTGTTATTCTATAACTATACGACGTGACTGGCTTACACAGCAGCCAGCCACAGCCCGGGATATATGTTAACTGGTGTTAGAACGTCTGGGACTCCGCAGGGGTAGGTACCAACACCCTTGTTTTTTTTTATTGTCGTGAATCTATTTACGGATACCCGGTCGAGGGGGATAACGGACCGGATTATGTCGGACTCCGGCGCCTCCAGAGAGGAAGGGAGAAGAGAAGGACCGAGTTGCTCCACCTCCCCTAATTTCTCACAGGAAACTTCCCCTTGAAAACGAAGCGTGAGGCACTTCCCTCGCAGAAGCGCCTACCGACTAAACCCCGTCGAGCTTCACTACACCGACTACACGAAACTTACGGTACCGCATTGCGCGCGGTACCAACACCATGCCTATTTTTGCCGTGAAGCAGTAATTCGTTTCGGTTTGAACGGTGGGGCGGACGTTGTTCTATAAAGTCTCACTACCCATGTTTCCAGGTGGGGGCGGCATTTGGGTTGTAGATGCCTAAGGGCTCCGGTAACCACTAAGCACTAAGTGAGCCGTGAGCTCGGCCATCCATCTAAACTATACAAAAAAAGTGTCCTGATAGATCCACCTGATCCACCAAAAATGTTCTTCATCAACGGTCTCTGTTAGTAGGATCGCTAGCAGCAAACAGACCATAGTTCATCGTACTCGTGGAAGAACTAAATTATACTCTACCTCCAGCATCGAGAGTTGTGAATAGTGGTAAATGAGTCTACTACCAGATGAGTAAGTGGTCACAGTAATGATCATCAGTCCAATTCCAAGATCAGGAGTACGACTTTTTCGGTGCCTACATTGAAATACTGATAAAAAAGAAATGTCAATAGCATTTACGTGCAAGGGACAATCCAATGATATAGTTCCTTCCAGAGGTTGAAGCATTTTGGTTTCACTGAGTTGATGTCAGAGCTGAATTAACCTATAGGAGGCTCTGGGCATTTCAGGAAAATAGACTCCTATGACTCTTACAATATGACAAAGGAGTTCTAAATACATTACAAAATTCAATTTTTCCTGATAGTCTTTTCACTTTAGGATCTATTATTATTGGTAATTGTGGTGATCTGAGAGGAATTAGGAAACCTTAGGGAATTCGAAGCCTTCAGATTACTACTGTGATACTGTCTACTCTATCAGACCTTTTCATTTCGGGGTTGTTTTCATTTCAGACCCTGACAACTACGACGGCCCTGAGCTGGTCTACCGTGAATGGCACCACTGGCTCGTAGGAAACATTCCTGGTGGTGACCTTTCTGCTGGAGAGACTCTATCGGGATACATCGGCTCCGGACCACCCCAGGGTACTGGGATCCATCGTTACGTCTACATCCTTTATAAACAACCAGGAAAATTGGACTTCGACGAGAAAAGGCTAACGAATACGTAAGGGTCTTGTATTTTAGCAATAAAAGTAAGCTCCTATTAAATCTGAGTAGAGATGCCTCGTCTATAGATTTACAGTTATTTGCTACTGTATTCGTAATGGCGAAACAATATAGTTTAAAGGGCACTCATTAATTTCTGTGATGCTAGCAATCTAGATGCAGTTTTGATCACCTTCATAATCTATTTCCACTAGTTTTTTATCTATTGTTTCCTTTTACCTGGTTACTGCTTTTGTTAATCACCTGAGATCTCATCATAAATGAAGTCTTTTAACCTGCATGCCGTGCTTAAGTCGCTGAGTTTGATTCACAACGAAACCCTTTTTAACACATTGAGGATCAGCCCTTTATTTTTATGGAGACTGGAGCAACTTGGCGCACGGATGGAGTTTAAGGGCTGCGAAACTCTAATCAGGCTACGAAATAACTAAAACCTTCTGTGTTGCTAGGTCCCTTTTGTATTAAAAGAACTTTTTACTGGTGGTAGGGCTTTTTGTGAGTCCGCACGGGTAGGTACCACCACCCTGCCTATTTCTGCCGTGAAGCAGTAAGGGGTTTCGGTTTGAAGGGTTGGGCAGCCGCTGTAACCATACTGAGACCTTAGAACTTATATCTCAAGGTGGGTGGCGCATTGACGTTGTAGATGTCTATGGGCTCAAGTAACCACTTAACACCAGGTGGGCTGTGAGCTCGTCCAACCGTCTAAGTAAGAAAAAAAAAACTGTTTCCGCAGGTCTATTGATAGTCGCGCCTCGTTCTCCACGAAGAAATTCGCTGAAAAGTACAACCTGGGGGCGCCTGTCGCCGGCAACTTCTACAGAGCGCAGTTCGACGACTACGTCCCACAGCTTTACAAAAGCTTGGGTGCTTAATATAATGATTTAAAATTGCCTTTTTGTTTTATTTTAAAAGTTGAACGGTCGAAGGATCAGTTAAAAAGTTAAAGACCAGAGCGGAGCCAGAGCGGACCGCTAGTCATAAATATACAGACAGATTTTTTGAATTGCACTACGTCGAATTTTCGTGTGTTCACAATACGCTCTGCCGATAATTATGCTTTTTTTCTCTCGTGGGTTCGTTTTTTTATACATTTTTATTTCTTCATCAGTGGTAGTCATCTGTGAGCGCGTTAGTTTACGTATTGTTACACCGGTAAGAATAACGCCATCTATCGCCGAAAAGCCGAACGAATATCGAAGGATCTAGTAGCTTCTAGAGCGCTTGAGAAGTATAACGCCATCTATTGTCAGATAGCAGAAACACACAATACGTCGAGTTTTGTGGAATATTCTCGATAATTCTGGGGATGTCGTATCGACTATAAAAGCATTGCAGAGATGGCACGCAGACAGTTAGTAATCGGAACTACTCGAAGCGAAACAGCGAACGGATCACCTGAAGCGAAGCGGAAGAGGCGAATTGAGAATTATAAAGTGTTCTAAGTGTTAATACAGTGTTCATTTGTACTTTGCTTTTGTTTTTATTATTCCGCACCCGTATATAACTAGTCAGGTCATAAGTATTGTCACACAGTAAAAACTTTTCTTTTAGAATGCTGGCCACAAAAAAGTTTATTGAATTCGAATTTCGAATTGTTCATGAAAATAAAAATGTATACTTTTAGAATTTTACTCATTTTAAAATATGGAGCGGACGCTTAAAGAAGACCGTGTTGCAGTTATTGCGTTGCATCGTTGCGGTTACGCGCCAATTCAAACTTTGAACATACTGAAAAATTTGAATATAACCAAAAGATTCGTTTATCGTACCATCAAACGATACAATGAAGACTCTAGTGTAGATGACAGGTCAAGAAATGGTCGCCCTCGGTCTGTTACGACTCCAGCAGTGATAAAAGCTGTGAAGGCGCGAATTCAAAGAAATCCCAAACGTAAGCAGAAATTGTTGGCCCTTCAGATGGGGTTAAGCAGAACCACGGTGAAAAGGGTGTTAAATGAAGACTTAGGGCTTCGGGCATATCGAAGAAAAACAGGACATCGTTTGAATGCTCGTCTAATGAACCTGAGACTGAAGAGATGCCGCGCTTTGTTGAAGCGGTACGCGGGAAAAAAATATCAGGAAATTCTTTTTTCGGATGAAAAATTTTTACCGTAGAAGAGAGCTACAACAAACAAAATGATAAGGTGTACGCACACAGTAGTGAAGAAGCGAGCAACCGTATTCTGCGTGTCCAACGAGGTCATTTTCCATCCTCGCTCATGGTATGGTTGGGAGTTTCTTATTGGGGCTTAACAGAGGTACATTTTTGTGAGAAAGGTGTAAAAACGAATGCAGTTGTGTATCAAAATACAGTCCTGACGAACCTTGTGGAACCTGTTTCTCATACCATGTTCAATAACAGGCACTGGGTATTCCAACAAGATTCGGCGCCAGCTCATAGAGCGAAGAGCACACAAGACTGGCTGGCGGCGCGTGAAATCGACTTCATCCGGCACGAAGACTGGCCCTCCTCCAGTCCAGATTTGAATCCGTTAGATTACAAGATATGGCAACACTTGGAGGAAAAGGCGTGCTCAAAGCCTCATCACAATTTGGAGTCACTCAAGACATCCTTGATTAAGGCAGCCGTCGATATTGACATGGACCTCGTTCGTGCTGCGATAGACGACTGACCGCGCAAATTGAAGGCCTGTATTCAAAATCACGGACGTCATTTTGAATAAACTTTAGTGTCATAAGAATCTATGTTTTGTTAAGTTCATTTTGGTATATGAATGGTTAAATAATGAATAAACTTGTTTCAATTATTTTACATTAAACATGTGACAGAACTTATGACCTGACTAGGTATATACGTGTATTATTTATTCCGAACCCCAGAGCGTAACAGTATTTACTTCAAAACAATGGCTGACATCGCATCAATGAGAACCAAGATTATAGAAGTTTCCAAAAATCCCAAGTTGTAATGTTCTCATATTTATGTGTCCCGCATATCCTCTTCTGCCTATGGTAACTACTTGTCATAGATTACGCTTTGCATATGTGTTTATATAATGCAAAAAAAAACCATAAATGTGTCCATCCATTCATCAAAATAATTTACAAAATAAAATTACACAAAAAAAATCACAATCCAATTTAAAATAATAAGCTATTTCGTACATGTCATTGTGTATGAGAATGCTTATTAAAAATAATCACAAATGAGAACCAATATTCTATTATTATTTTTATGAACTCGCACGGATAGGTTTTTTATTTTGTCTTTATTGTTTATGGCGTGGCCGAGCACACAGCCCACCTAGTAGTTACCGAAGCCATAGACACCTACAACGTAAATTCCGCCAGGTACCTTGAGATATGAGTTCTAAGGTCTCAGTATAGTTACAACAGCTGCCTCACCCTCCAAACCGAAACGGCAGAAATAGGCAGGGTGGTGGTCCGCACCTACCCGCGCAGACTCACAAGACGTCCTACCATCAGTAATTACGTAAATTATAATTTCGCGGGTTTTTATTTATATTACACCATGTCATTCCTTCACCGTGAAAGTCAATCGTGAACAGTTAATTTTGTTAGTACGTATTTTATTAGTAACATTGTTACCTGGCTGCGGGATTCGAACACCGGTGCATCCCTAGATACGAATGCACTGGAAGTCTTATATTTTAGGCCACGACGACTTCAAACCACTACCCTGCCTATTTCTGCTGTGAAGCAGTAATGTGTTTCGGTTTCAAAGGTGGGACAGCCGTATTGTAAAAAGTGAGACTTAGAAGGTGGGCGACTTTTACGTTGTTGATGACTATGAGTTCCGGTGACCACTTAACAGTAGGTGGACTGCGAGCTCGTCCACCCGCCCAAGCAATAGAAAAACAGGGAAGGGTTGTCTGTATATGTTTGAACAAATCTTTTGAAAAACAAGATTTACAAAAAATCTTATATATTGTTACGCGCTGAGGGTTCGCCGAAGTACAAATTAACACTGTATTAGCACTTAGAACACTTAAAACACTTCACAAATTCTTAATCCATTTCTTTCGCTTCGCTTCAGGTGATACGTTCGCTGTTTCGCTTCGAGTAGTTCCGTTTACTGACTGACTGCGTTCCATCCCTGCAACGCCTTTAGAGCCGATACCACATCCCTAAAATTATCGAGAACATTCCACGCATCTCGAGTATAGTGTTTCCGCCATCTGACAGTAGACGGCGCTGAACCTCTCGAGCGTTCTAGATGCCACTAGACCCTTCGATACTCGTTCTACTACTCGGCGATAGATGGCGTTACTCTTACCGGCGTAACAATATTATAGGTATATTCCACACAAACCTAATAACGTAAAATACTTGAAAATATTCAAGTCTTTTATTATTAGTGTTCCGGTATGCGCGAGCCGTAAACATAATTAAAATCATTTTAACGATTTAATTACGTTAAAGTATAGTAATTATTATTTAATTTAATTTATATTAATACGTGAAGCAAAAACTTTGTATCACTTTTTACGAAAATTGCGCGGACGGAGGAGTATGAAATTTTCCACACTTATAGAGAATATAGAAAAGAAGTGCACAATGATAATTTTTTTTTAAAATAATGCATAAAAGATACATTAAATCAATAAAGAAAACGTTACACACACTACATACCATGTATTTGACGCACACACGCATGCATACTGTCAAACTTTTGTTCTTGACGTCTGTTGTCAAATTGAGAATAGATTAAATATTGTTTGTCTTTATTAATATTTTTCTATAGTCTTGGCGTTGAAAATACAATAGTAATAGTGCACAAACTTACAATTCCAATTAATTATAGTCGAATTTCGACTACTGCGGGACCTCTAGTAATAATTATTATTTAATTTTTTTTCGAATACATTACAGCTCTCATCCAACTAGTTATTATTGTTGGTTATTCGTCGACTTTGTATATTGTGTTATAACAACATTCGTCTATTTTTCTATTAAACGTATTTCTCGACTTTTAAGGTCTGACTTAGTAGCAAGAAATCACTAATTTGACATTGATAAACGACCTTGTTTTAAATTAATTCAATTGGCGCACAATCAAATTAATTATTTATTTAAATGTCAAATTAGTGATTTTTTTTGTTCACGATTAAAGGCAAGCCGACGACAAGGGAGTTTGTGGGTTGAATCGTAAATCTTTAAGAATAACTGACCGTAGAGCTGAACTCTACATGATAGAGCAATCGGATGATGGCCAACCACACTTCCCAAACCATCCACTGGTGGTAGGACCTCTTGAGAGTCCGCACGGGTAGGTACCACCGTCCTGCCTATTTCTGCCGTGAAGCAGTAATGCGTTTCGGTTTGAAGGGTGGGGCAGCCGTTGTAACCATACTGAGACCTTAGAACTTATATCTCAAGGTGGGTGACGCGTTTACGTTGTAGATGTTCATGGGCTCTAGTAACCACTTAAAACCAAGTGGGCTGTGAGCTCGTCCACCCAACTAAGCTATAAAAAAAAACCAGAGAACCAAATGATCCAACGAAATATACACAAAGATATTATAGTCTTCATGAGAAGTAAAAAAATAATAAACGGTTTATTCAATAATCAGGAAAGTAGTATTGAGCAACTGGTTTGTTGACATTTATTAATAAAACTAGATTTATAAGGATGAATATTCGTAATGATATTTTGAAAAGTTTTTGGAACGGTGTAACGAATAGAATTTTATTAATACAGTTTTGAAGAATAGATATTATCGAGTATAGAACTGTATGTTGAGCAGTTAGGTTTTTTCAAAGGTGAATATTAATTTAGGGATAATATGAAAATATAGTTAACGTTAGATATGTACACAGATTATGTTTTATTGATACTAAGAGACTATTTTTTTTGCATTTTCTACAGTTTATTTCTCTCTCTTTCCCTAGTTTTTCACGGCAGAAATAGGCAGGGCGGTGGTACCTACCCGTGCGGACTCACAAGAGGTCTGTCTTGATCTACCCTCGGTTTTTATTCGTTTCGTGCTATTTTTGCTATGGACGACTGAAAATATCTTCTCCTATGATGGATCGTATCAGCACCAATGTCATTGTTTAATGATTTAAATGAAGGTATTTATTGAAATAGGCAGTTAACGCTATTTTTTCTCAATACATCATCGTAACAAATTCGTTTAGTTGTTCTGGTGATTAGCTAGAACTAATGCGTAGCCAAACAACGGTTTTTTAAGATCGATTCTTTACCATGTTTCTCATTATAAATTTGTCTTTCTTCTTACTTTTCTCCACCTTATCCCACTAGGTGAGGTCGGCACAGAGATTTTTTCTATTCCATTCTGTTCTATCAGCCGTCATCTCAACACACATTCCTCTCTCTCTCTCTCTCTCATATCGTTATTCACACACTCCATCCATGTCTTCTTCGGTCGACCTCTTCCCCCTCTACCTTGCACTACCATTTGCATACTCTAGTCACATGCATCTCCTCTCTACGCATCACATGTCCATACCACGCTAACCGTTTGATTATACAGTAAATTATAAATTAGTCTTTATGTACTAACTAGTTGACCCGGTAGACTTCGTAGAGCCTCAGTCGATAAATAAAAAACCTAAACTTTTGTATTAAATGAACTTAAAACAAACAAAAGGAATCCGTCCGACGGGGGACACATCAAAGGAAAAACAAAATTGTTATTTTTGTTTAAATCCGAGCATTTTCATATTTATCTACCTTTTAAACCTTCTCTGGACTTCCACAAATAATTCAAGACCAAAATTAGCCAAATCGGTCCAGCCGTTCTCGAGTTTTAGCGAGACTAACGAACACCAATTCATTTTTATATATGAAGTATATAGATATACAGTTATAAGGAACCATAGATGGGGATTAACCAAACTGATATCATTTTTGGATTGGGAAACATGATGATCGCATGACATGCGACAGACATACCTACCATTACGAAATATATGCTCAATTTACCATTATTTAAACATAGCTTCTTTATAAAGTCCTGCACCAGAATATTTTGTAACTAAGAGGTCTCTAGGGTATCACTATAAGCGCTTCGGCGTTCAGTAGAGGGCTTTGATGTTTCGCGCTGAATTGAGGAAGGCTGGTTTTGAACGGCATAAGCTCGTATTTTATAGTTATAAATAGACATGCTTTAATAAAAACCGACTTCAAATAGAAAAAAAAAAGATGTTCCAAAACAAATTAATATACACTAAAAACAATAATCATTGAAATCGGTTGGCGTGATATTGAGTTATTCATCTATTTGTCGCGCACGTACTTAATGCAAATTTAAGACTTATATGATTTTCTCATGGATACCATTATCAGAACTGGACTCAATTGAAATGGGACCACACGGAAAGCGTCAGCTTTCTAATAAAAAAAGAATCATTACAATCGATTCACCCAGTCAAAAGTTATGAGGTAACAAACATAAAAAAAAACATACAGTCGAATTGAGAACCTTTTTTGTAGTCGGTAAAAATCGGATGATACGAATATATTTGTAATAAGCCGAAGCCAAAAAAGGAGGAAGTTTTCTATACTCGACTGTTTTTTAGGTAATAATATGTAATAGTAGATCTTCCTAGTATGTAGAAGATAATTAGAACGACCATTATTGTCGTGAAATTAAATCAAATCAGTGCAATCCAACAACTCCATTTTAAATCGTATTTTAGACTCTAATTTTTGGGACGTTTCAATAATAATAATCTATATATATAAAAATGAATTGGTGTTCGTTAGTCTCGGTAAAACTCGAGAACGGCTGGACCGATTTGGCTAATTTTTGTTTTGAATTATTTGTGGAAGTCTAGAGAAGGTTTAAAAGGTAGAAAAATATGAAAATGCTCGGAATTAAATAAAAATAACAATTTTGTTTTTCCTTTGATGTGTCCCCCATCGGATGGATTCCTTTTGTTTGTTTTAAGTTTATTTTATACAAAAGTTTTGGTCTTTTGTTTATCGATTGAGGCACTACGAAGTCTGCCGGGTCAGCTAGTATTTAATATATATATTTTGAACAACAGCTGTTAGAAGAAACACGACAATAAGGATTTTTTCACTGGTGGTAGGACCTCTTGGGAGTCCGCACGGGTAGGTACCACCACCCCGCCTATTTCCGCCGTGAAGTAGTAATGCGTTTCGGTTCGAAGGGTGGGGTAGCCGTTGTAACTATACTGAGACCTTAGAACTTGTATCTCGAGGTGGGTGGCGCAATTACGTTGTAGATGTCTATGGGCTCCAGTAACCACTTAACACCAGGTGGGCTGTGAGCTCGTCCATCCATCTAAGCAATAAATAAAATAAAACATACTGATTACAAGGGCACTACTTATTTCATGTTGAAATCTCTTCCAGTAGGCTCAAATGAATGTTACTAAAATTAATAAAAGAACTGTATGTTCTTTTTTTGTGCTTTTATCGCAGGTATCATTGTAATTTGATTCCGCTACAAATACGCGAGACATTAGTGGAACGCTGCATTCAGCATTCGAGCATTACATTTTCAAGTTCGCTAGGACCTTCTTGTTGAATGCGAATATATTCGATTTAAATATTTTACTTAAATAATTATTTAAGATCGCGTAGTCATTGTGAATGTGATATGTTTTTGTGATTATTAATTTTTCTTTACTTATTTATCAGAGGTGAGTGCTGAATGAATTATTATAAATTTTATTAAAATTTAAATGTAGTGCGACGCGACAATATATTTTTATTCAAATATATATTTTTCGTAAATAAAAATTTGAGATAGTACAGTAATGTCTTAAAATATAGCTAATGTTAATAGCCTGGACGTTAATTTGAATATTATTTATAGTCTATGTAAGTTATCACATACTTATATAAATAACGAAGTGAATTTTTAATAATTGGGCGTCTGATTTTATGGAACAATGTCTTTGCTTCATTTTAGAAATTGTAAGTAAATACATACTTACATTACAATAATAATTATTATTCTTGCTGTAATTTGGTAACTGTGCTTACTGTAATAAAAAATTTAGAAAAACTGGTAGGTATTTGCGTGTTGGATAGAGCATCGCATTAAAGTAGACTATAAGTTTTTAATGGTGTTAGGACCTCATATGAGTCCGCGCGGGTAGGTACCACCACCCTGCCTATATCTGCCGTGAAGCAGTAATGCGTTTCGGTTTGAAGGGTGGGACAGCTGTTGTAACTATACTGAAACCTTAGAATTGACATCTCAAGGTGGGCGGCGGCATTTACGTTGTAGATGTCTATGGGCTCCAATAACCACTTAACACCAGGTGGGCTGTGAGCTCGTCCACCTACTTAATCAACACACAACACACATCTGTGGGGCGGCGTGCTTTGCACACTTGCCCACAGTAGGAAGCCCGGTGATGGTAGACCGCGTTCCCCCGACCGCTCCGGGGGAAGATGTAACGCGGATGTAAAGCCCCGACTGGGCTCCGGTCCGGTCCAGGGTAGGGCGCCGGCTGTGACCGACAGGAGTTTTTAGTGAGGTTCAACTCCCACATGCCCCACCTGCCGCGCGGGTGGGGATCCGTCGATTTTCTCCTGTGGACAAAAAAGAACCTCACAATGGGTAGTCACTTATTTTCCTGTTCAATACCCATTTACAATAATTACCTGCAAAAAAAAACCAGACAACGCGAGTCGTTGTATTGGATAAAGATCTTTTGTTAATTTGCTGTTTTTAAAAGAAGAGTAAGTGACCTTGTAATTTGCATTAATTTATTTCAAGTAATAATTACAATTTAGACGTGGAAGTTGTACGTTTGATAATTAAAATTTAAACTAAATATAATTAAAAAAAAATGTATAAAAATGTTACAATGATGTGAATTTTTATGTAATAAATATAATTACCGTAATTTTTTTTTTGGGGTGTGCCGTCAGTTCCTTATAAATAAACGATTCTGGTAAGAACTGATTGATGATTATTTTGGTTAATGTTTTTGTTCCAAATGAAAAAAAAACTCGAAATCATAATTTCATAATCATAAGACCTCAGCGGCCTCGGAGAACTAAATCTCTTCCAAAACCACTGTCATGGAAGGTCGTGGGACCCCACCATATGTATTTTTCCAAGANGGGGTGTGCCGTCAGTTCCTTATAAATAAACGATTCTGGTAAGAACTGATTGATGATTATTTTGGTTAATGTTTTTGTTCCAAATGAAAAAAAAACTCGAAATCATAATTTCATAATCATAAGACCTCAGCGGCCTCGGAGAACTAAATCTCTTCCAAAACCACTGTCATGGAAGGTCGTGGGACCCCACCATATGTATTTTTCCAAGAAAGCCTCAAGACCACCAGGCCACGACCCGTTTGGCAGTTGCGTTAGTCCGTCTTCTGCCCAACGTTGGTGGTTGCAGCGTCGGTGTCCGGCGCCTGTACCTGGGGGTCGTGCGCAGTATGGCCTTGTATGGCGCTCCCGTGTGGTCGCCCACACTCTCCGTACGCAATGCGGCGCTGCTGCTCCGAGCTCAGCGGGTGCTCGCGGTGAGGGTCATCAGGGGGTACCGTACGATCTCCCGAGAGGTTGCCTGCGCCCTCGCTGGTTCCCTTCTTTGGGATCTCGAGGCCGAGGTATTGGCTACGGTATACCGGCGCAGGACACAGTCCCTGAGTCGGGGACGGACACCCGGCCTGTCGGCTGTCAGTCGGTGGAGGCGTGCTGCGCGTCATCTGGCGTACGCTAAATGGAGGGAGCGGTTGCTGGAGGAACTTCATCAAACCTCAGCCACCCGCCGGCGCACCCTCGAAGCCCTGGTGCCCGTGCTGGAGACATGGTCAAATCGGCGACACGGCGTGCTCTCCTTCCGCCTTACGCAGGTCCTCTTGGGGCATGGCTGCTTCGGGATTTACCTGTGGAGGGTCTGCAGGAGAGAGCCACATCCGGGTTGTCACCAGTGCGGGCATCCGGATGATGACGCTCAGCACGCACTCGAAGCGTGCCCGCGTTGGGAGCACCCGCGGCGAGATCTCATCGCGGTGCTGGGGAGGGACCTCTCCTTGCGGGATGTCATTGCCCGCATGCTAGAGGACGAGAGTTCGTGGGAGGCCATGGCCAGATTTTGCGACCTGGTCATGGCGTTCCGCGAAGCTGAGGAGCGCGAAAGGGAGTGGGATCCCTCTTCGGCTCCTCAGCGAAGAAGGCGGGGTGGGCGACGCGGGCACGATGCTCCCGTTAATCTCCCGTAAGGACTGTTGGGTACTGGGTGCGGGGGCGCCCGGTGCTCTGCTGTCGGTTCCGTGGTGAGGCGGCGCAAGGTGGCTCCTATGCGCCACTCACGGTGTGTCTCCCGAGACGACGTCCCACGGGATCTTCCCGGGGATGGGATCCCGTCCTATTGTCAGGACGGGTACCGGCGACGGCGAGCCTGCGGCGCGCATTGTGCGGTACCGTAGGTTTTGTGGAGTCGGAGTGGTGGAGCTCGATGGGGTTTAGTCGGTAGTCGGTTTTGCGGGGCGGGTCCTGCGTGGTAGACGCCGCGCAGCGCCTCGCGCGCCTTTCTCAAGGCGTAGTCTCCCGGTAGGAATTGGAAGAGGAGGAGGACTTTGGTCTTCCTTTTCTCTCTCTCTTCTTCTCTGGAGGCGCCGGAGTCCGACATAACCCGGTCTATTACCCCTCTCGACCGGGTATACATAAATAGATTCCCCAGCGTTAAAAAAAAAAAAGGCCACGACCCTTTAAAATAATGTCTGCGAATGGTTCAAAGGAATCTGTCGAAATAAACTCAGCGGGCAAAAATGATAAAAACAAAATGAAGTCGTCGTGGCCTAAAGGATAAGACGTCCGGTGCATTCGTAGCGATGCACCGGTGTTCGAATCCCGCAGGCGGGTACCAATTTTTCTATGAAATACGTACTTAACAATTGTTCACGATTGACTTCCACGGTGAAGGAATAACATCGTGTAATAAAAATCAAACCCGCAAAATTATAATTTGCGTAATTACTGGTGGTAGGACCTCTTGTGAGTCCGCACGGGTAGGTACCACCGTCCCGCCTATTTCTGCCGTGAAGCAGTAATGCGTTTCGGTTTGAAGGGTGGGGCAGCCGTTGTAACTATATTGAGACCTTAGAACTTCTATCTCAAGGTATGTGGCGCATTTACGTTGTAGACGTCGATGGGTTCCAGTAACCACTTAACACCAGGTGGGCTGTGAGCTCGTCCACAGATCTAGGCAATAAAAAAAAGAAAAAAAAGGGCATGTCGTTTCTATCGTTTAATAATCCTATCTAATACGTCCGTCTAATCCTAAATGTTTTCTTTACTTTTGTATTTAATTTCAATAATAATTATGATTAGTAATTCTCAAAAAGAAAAAAGAAAAACGTGCGTGTGTTAATTATAATTAAATAAATTGTTAATATTATTGTAAATCAGAGCAAGATATTCTACGAAAGAAACTGTTCGGAAAATATCCGGAGATTATTTTTCATACAATTCGCGATAATCACAACGTAAAGTGGCTTATTCATGTTTCATTGGTGTACAATAAAAACTTATATTACCCCTATGAATAAATAAATTTATTCGTAGTTTTATTTTTTATCTTTTTTATTGCTTAGATGGGTGATCGAGCTCACAGTCCACCTGGTGTTACTGGAGCCCATAGACATCCACAACGTAAATGCGCCACCCACCTTGAGATATAAGTTCTAAGGTCTCAACTATAGTTACAACGGCTGCCCCACCCTTCAAACCGAAACGCATTACTGCTTCACGGCAGAAATAGGTAAGGCGGTGGCACCCACCCGCGCGGACTCACAAGAGGTCCTACCACCAGTAATGTACCGATTATATAAATAATAATAATATAAATTACCCGAATGAATGTCATCTTATAGCAATGTATAATAACGCAATTAGTATGTGTTCATAATAGCGTTTGACAAACCACGCGGTATACTCATTAGATGTACTGTAATTACGGTAATGGCATGTTATTTTTCCGTGATTACGGAATAGGCTAATCATATTAGCCATTATCTAGTTAACATCTTCCGCGAGCTCTGCTATTAGGTTGTTATTAGAACTAGAGGTCCCGCAGTAGTCGAGATTCGACTATAATTAATTGGAATTGTAAGTTTGTACACTATTATTATTGTATTTTATACTTCTATAATCACAAATTTCGCCAAGAATACACTATAAAAAATATTAACAAAGACAAACAATATTTAATCTATTCTCAATTTGACAACAGACGTCAGGAAAAAAAGTTTGACAATAAATAGTATGCATGCGTGTGTGCGTCAAATACATGGTATGTAGTGTGTGTAATGTTTTCTTTATTGATTTAAAGTATCTTTTATGCATTATTTAAAAAAATATTAGCATTGTGCACTTCTTTTCTATATTCTCTATAGGTGTGGAAAATTTCATACTCCTCCGTCCGCGCAATTTTCGTAAAAAGGGATACAAAGTTTTTGCTTCATGTATTAATATATAGATGTCGTAGCGTTAGTTAAAATTTTTATTGATTACTAACGGCCTGCTCCGGCTCCGCTCGGGTCTTTAACAAAAATTTCAACAATAATTGACGTTGTTTTATTTTTTAAAATAAAAGAACACTTATTGCGGCATAGCTATAATAGTTAGATAGATGCTGTCGCGACACTTTTTGTAAATAATAATGTGTTCTACAAAGCCGTAGTACATTCTTTTATTCTAACATCAATAGTTCTGTAGGGCATGCGATGTAAAGAATATTTTAGGTAATTTCTTTACACCTTGGGTTACATTATTGGAGTTTTAGTAAGGATCCCTCATTTTTTCAAAAAAGAGTATAGCCTATGTCACTTGGGAATAGTGTAGCTTCCAAACAGTAAAATAATTTTTCAAATCGGTTCAGTAGTATTGGAGCCTATTCAATACAAACAAACAAATCTTTCCTCTTTATAATATTAGTATAGATAAGCAGTTAGATGAAGCGATTTTGAAAAAAAAAATAGACTTAGTTCAAGCAGCCCAAAAACTATGCTCCGATAGAGAGTCAAAAAATATTCAAGAACAAATTACATGCATGACTATTTAATAGATGTAACACAAGAGACGCGAAATATACAAATTGATACACAACTTTGTATAATTTTGTGAATCGAATGGATCGATCGGGATTCGAGCTTGGATCTTGATATATCACAGACACAGCCCGAAGTGATCTCGATCCAATGCGATGGTAGATTCACCGAAGCACTGCTCTTGCTAGGGCCAGTGTTAGAATATTTTCTCAAGTTCAGCTTGAGTTCACCTATGCGAGATTAATTGAAATATCCTCTTAGGATACCGACGATTAGGTAGGAGAAAAAATTCGTATCATATTATTGATCAGATGGACCGTGAATTCGCCTGTCTAAATATAAACAACGAACCAGTACAAGTATAAGTAGTGGGCAACATAACTAACTTCGACCAACTAGCTCCTGACGATTCCGATCTATAAAATTGTCATAAATTCACTATTTAATATCTTTCGCAGAAGATGGCGGTCAAGCCTATGTCAATTCAGAAGGAGTACGAGAAGCATCCGGACATCACTCCTGAGGACATCAAGAACCTTCGAGAATGGCTCAACAATCAGCCCCATTTACCGGGAGATTTGATATCAGGTACAAAAATTCGAATGGCTAGATAGTATGACTCGATTCTTTTTTTTTCGCATACCTATTGTTGATGTGACAGCTGATGTTGGTTCAGCTTTTAACTTCCATTGACAGCTTGTAGCATTGAATTCACATGCTGGAAAAAATAGCTCATCGTGTCCGTCCTCGTCTGACTAGCTAATATGCATGAGACAAGAAAAAATACTTATTATTATGTACCATATCTTTCGTGAATGCGTAATGAAAAGTGAAGTCAGCGGACGAACGCTATTTCCGTCTCACTCGCTCTCGCCTTCCGAGATTACAGATCGTTTACGTCATAATTTTAATTTAACTGTTCGTTGCGTGATTAAGAGTTTTTTATTTATTTATTTTTTATAGTGTCAAAGTTGTTTGGAATCACCATCTATTTGCTACTTTGGTCTTTTTGTTAGTGGCCCAAACGATTGTAACACGGAGTCCAGGTTTAATTTCCGGTTCAAGTCGATTTACTGGTGGTAGGACCTCTTGTGAGTCCGCACGGGTAGGTACCACCGCTCTGCCTATTTCTGCAGTGAAGTAGTAATGCTTTTCGGTTTGAAGGGTGGGGCAGCCGTTGTAACTATACTGATACCTTAGAACTTATATCTCAAGGTGGGTGGCGCATTTACGTTGTAGTTGTGTATGGGCTCCAGTAACCACTTAACACCAGGTGGGCTGTGAGCTCGTCCACCCATCTAAGCAATAACAAAAAAGATTTCTTTGACAAAGGAATTTGATATTTGCGTTCATATCCATATTGAGATGAGTTTATAGAAACTCATTATGCTATATGTGTTTCGGGTAAATCTATAATACAGAAGAATTTGTATTTTAGTTCCGTAGAGGGTTTTTGTTTTTTAAATTACTTTAATTTTTTTTAAGCAAGCAGCCGATCCTACGGCCCACCTGATGGTAAGTGGTTACCGTCGCTCATGGATGGCAGCAATGCCAAGGGCAGAGCCAAGCCGCTGCCTACCATTTAATACTCTCTATAAACCTCGTTTCAAGAATATTAACATAATGGTATCTTTATAATATGGTTAGTACAGGTACAGTACTAAAGTTACTAAGTGTCTAAAAGCAATTAACGCTGCAGTAAAATTAGGAGGCGAACTATAGTCTCGAGCGCCAATTGAAATATAAATGCTTATTACGGCGATGGTGTGACGATCATACTCGAACTCCTCAAGGGTAAGTGCTCTTGAACTTTAGCACTTTACAAGTGTTTGTTCAACACTAACAAGCAGTGTTAGGGAAATCCTATGACCCTGAAATACATATATTTATTTGTTTGTTTTTCTATTATATATTTTCTATTCGCTCCGTTCGAATTGAATGCGGGCTGTAAGGAGCGATTCTCTGAACCGACGCAGTTTGTAACTTAGGTAATCTATCTATCTGTATATATAAAAGTNACTTTAGCACTTTACAAGTGTTTGTTCAACACTAACAAGCAGTGTTAGGGAAATCCTATGACCCTGAAATACATATATTTATTTGTTTGTTTTTCTATTATATATTTTCTATTCGCTCCGTTCGAATTGAATGCGGGCTGTAAGGAGCGATTCTCTGAACCGACGCAGTTTGTAACTTAGGTAATCTATCTATCTGTATATATAAAAGTGAATTGCTGATCGTTACTCTCGCTAAAACTCGAGAACGGCTGGACTGATTTGGCTAATTTTGCTCTTAAATTATTCGTGGAAGTCCAGAGAAGGTTTAAAAGGTGGATAAACATGAAAATGCTCGGAATTAAATAAAAATAACAATTTTGTTTTTCCTTTGATGTGTCCCCCGTCGGACGGATTCCTTTTGTTTGTTTTAAGGTTATTTTATACAAAAGTTTAGGTCTTTTATTTATCGATTGAGGCACTACGAAGTCTGCCGGGTCAGCTAGTGTATAATATTATCTTTATTTAATTAGTCTTATCCACAAAGCTGTAATATTTTTGGGGGGAACGGATAGAGGCTGGTCTAGAGACCTTGTCATTTAGACCATCGGCTAGGACGTACAGCCAAACTCAAGGATTTAACATGGAGGGAGCTAATGGCATGATAAAACACAAGAGTTAATTTTCAGATGTTGATCTGCTTATCGCGTACCATTGCTGCGAGAAGAGCATGGAGGTTTCGAAGCAAGTTATAGACTTGCACTACACATTGAAGTCCCTCATCTTCAGTGACCGATTGTTTAACAAGAAAGTCGAGTTCTCATTGGACATTGCGTGAGTACGGCCTATTAACTGGTCTCAATAATTTTAATATATGGGTGTTTCTCGAAAAAGACAAGATGTTGTGATTTTCAGTGAAGATAATACTAAGATGGAATGTAAACGAATATTTTGGTGGTGGTAGGGCGTTTTGTGAGCGCACACCGTGCCGCAACCGTGATATTTCTGCCGCAAACCAATCAGATTATACTATAAAATCGACATGTAGACGTCATGTCTAAAAATATATTCCAATTGTGATGTATATATCTATATAACAAATAAATCTCCATCAAAAACTTACAATTAACCGGTATAAATCAAAGTGGTAAATGTAACAAAATATTCAATATTTAAAAAAATATTATATATTTTTCGGTTATTTCTTGTCAGTTCGTGCAATATGTATTCGCGCAATCCGATTGACTTGAGTTGAAACTTTCTACAAATGTTATTGGTGCTTCAGAGATATATAGTTATATGATAGTATCATGATCCTACTACAGATGGCGATAAAATGTCAATAAATCTGTTTATCACAAATGTATATATTTTGTCGAAAGTATGGAGGGTAGAGGTAAAGAGCATTATCTTGTAGGGACTAGTAGAAAAAGTGTCGCAAGTCTAGTTGAAAAAGTGTAGCAGTTTTATAGAGAGTGAATTGTGGTAGTTTATTGCACTGTTTTTCAAATATTTCCACTTGATACTATGGCGCCCCCTTAATTTGCTCCCTTTCATTACTACTACTACTGAGCTGGCGCTATGAACCCGAAGTGGGTCTTGGCCTCCGACAATAAGCTTTGCCGTTCATCCCAGCGCTGCGCAACAAATTGCCAGTCCGACACTTGGAGCTCACGTAAATTTCCTTCTACAGCGTCAGACCAGCGGTACTTGGGCCTCCCTACGGGGCGGCGTCCCTCCGGTACACTCGCGTACACCCGTTTCACAGCCCGATCCTGCTCCATACGTATTACATGTCCGAGCCATCCGAGCTTCCGTGCCTTCATCTCCCCCAGAATATTTGGCTCAGCAAAAAGCCTCTCAACATCCTTATTTTCCGGACGTGCCAAGAACCGTCTTTTCCCTTTCATTGTGGTGGTGGAAATCTGAAGGTGCAAGGTCAGGACTATACGGCGGATGCACTAACACCTCCCAGCCAAGCTCTCTTAATTTTTGCTGAGTGGCTAAAGATGTGTGAGGTCTAGCGTTATTATTATGAAAAACCCTTCTGTTGATTAATTCCGGCCGCTTTCTCTCAACTTCTAGCTTTAATCTCATCAGTTGTTCGCAGTTGAGTTCAGAATCGATGGTTCGGTCTGGTGGTAGCAGCTCATAATTAATAATGCCCTTCCAATCCCACCACACACGCAGCATCACTTGTTAAGAGTTAGCCCGGGTTTCGCCACAGACTGTGAAGCCTGACCGGACTTTGACCATGACCTTTTTCGCACGTTCTTGTCGTACGTGATCCACTTTTCATCACCAGTTATCAGCTTCTTCAAAAATGGTTCGGTTTCATAACGTCGTAATAAAGAATCACAAATGAGTACACGGTTCATTAGGTTTCTTTCAGTGAGCTCCTGAGGTAAAAATATCGAGCTTTTTTGTGTACCCAGTTTTTTTCAAATGCGCCAAAACTGTTTTGTGGTCAATACCCAGTTCTTCAGCTACGTCGTAACTACTGATATGCCGATCTTACTCCAATTTTTCAAAAATGGCATCCGTTTTATCCGTATTAAGACGACCAGAGCGACGTGCATCATTGACATCAAAATTTCCCGATTGAAAAATTAAAGGTTATTATTTAACTAAAGGTCCATAAACATAGAAAGCTTTTTTCGCGGCTTGCGTTGCATTTTTACCTTTTTTGTAGTAAAATATATCGAAATTCTTTATTAAATTCACTCATCTTGACCGTACGAAAAATAAATAAAAATCACACATTTTCCTAACGTGAATTTGGAATTATCTTCTTTAAAATTTATACTTCTAATCATACCAAAACTAGTCAGATAAAAAGAGAATAAATAGCCAAAGAGTTTTATTACAAGTTCATACATACTATAATGCGAAAAGACCTTTTCCCCAACCTATTAAAGTTTTTCCTAGACTTCAAACTGGTTTTCACGCAAAACTAGACAGGACATTTGATTAAAACACCCAAGTTATTCGTTAATCAAGGACATTCGTGAGCACGTGTTAAGTGGATACTTGAAATTATCACCCGCCAGACTCTTGTCAAGAAAAGGAATGAATCGATGATATATTATTTTTTGTTTTTTTCCAGACTCTTCTACCAAATCCCAGTGTTTACAACAAGTGGTTACAGAGCGATTTACTTGCGGCTCCTAGATTTTAGCCCTAAGAATTTCTTTCTAGACCAATTGGTAAAGAGTTTCGTCTTGATTTACGATCTGTGGCAGTATGAAGAAGGAACGTGGCCTGGGTAAGCGCGATTTAAGGCCTCAATCGAATTGTATACAACAATGTACAAAGTGCTTAAAGTTGCCGACTGAGTGTGACGTCAAAATTTCAGTATCGTAGTAATAATAATAGTGGTCCCGCGGTAGTCGAAATTCGACTTTAATCAATTGAAATTTTATGTTTGAACATTATTCTGGTTCTATTGTCAAATATTTATAATTATATAATATAATCACAGATTTTCCCAAACCTCCGGTATACATAAATAATAATAAAGACAAACAATATTCATCTATTCTCAATTTGACCACAGACTTTAAACCCTAACAAAAGTTTGACAGTTGACAATAAACAAAGAGTATATAGGTATATAATTATATATATATATATCCTGCAACACNTATATATATATATATATGTGTTGTGTCAAATACACGGTAGTATGTGTAATGTTTTCTTTATTGATTTAATGTATCTTTTAAGCATTACTTAAAAAAATCATCGTGCACTTCTTCTTTAAATTCTCTATAAGTGTGGAAAATTTCATACTCCTCCGTCCGCGCAATTTTCGTAAAAAGGGATACAAAGTTTTTGCTTCACGTATTAATATATAGATAGTAACATATTCCTTCTGACGGGAATATTTACATGCAACTATGTAGCATTTTATAAAGTCAAAATAATTGTTATACATCCATGTTTTTTTTTTTTTTTTTATTGCTTAGATGGATGGACGAGCTCACAGCCCACCTGGTGTTAAGTGGTTACTGGAGCCCATAGACATCTACAACGTAAATGCGCCACCCACCTCGAGATATAAGTTCTAAGATCTCAGTATAATTACAACGGCTACCCCACCCTTCGAACCGAAACGCATTACTGCTTCACGGCGGAAATAGGCGGGGGGGTGGTGGTACCTACCCGTGCGGACTCCCAAGAGGTCCTACCACCAGTGTTCTAGTAATTAATTTTAAAACTACTTCTAATAGAAAATCTGTGTTAGCTCACCGGCAGTTGACAACGTCCCCAGAAGGCTGGCAGCATTTCCCCGCGGGATAGCAATGCTAATTCTTTATTGCAAAATACGTACCAGCTTCTGGTCTCCCGAGGCCTCAAATAGTTTTTTTTAAGGTCCTTAAAAAAGCTTTTAGCACATGGACCCCAGGGGCCCAAAGATTCTATCCCAAAAGGAACAAAAATGAAATCTTTTAATCAATGTACATGAGTGGGTGTGCATATAGTTTAAAAAATTGTGACTTTTGTTACGGTGTTAAGTGGTTACTGGAGCCCATAGACATCTACGACGTAAACCGTGCCGTCACCCACCTTCAGATATGAGTTCTAAGGTCTCATTATATGACTCATTCGGTCGTGCAGATAGCGCCCCTGTCTGTCGCACCGAGGGTCGTGGATTCGATTCCCACATCGAGCAAACATTCGTCTGATGAACAGGTTTGTTTGCTCTTTGTCTCGGTGCTTGTTACCTATATATTTAAATATATATGTAGGATTGGTAAGAACGGAACGAATGAAAAGAGTGTGGAACGGAGTGAGTGAGAGGAAACGGAAAGAAAGGGAAAAGAGAATGAGAGACAGAATTACAGAGAAAAGGAAGATGGCGAAGACAGTTAAAAAATGAGTAAGGCGTGAGAAAAATGTTAATTAATTTTTAATTATTATTTTAACAGAAGATTTTGGAACAGTATAAGTTTTATTTTATGCGCTGCGATCCCTATTCTACATATACTATATTATGTTAGTATGTTTATCAGTTTCTGGTACCTTTTTGTCCCTACCTATTCGCTGGTGGCCTGAGAGGCTATACCGGCTACGCTCGGACGGGTATCTGGTACCCATTACCCAGGGAATTCTAAATTGGGGCCACATGACGTATTGTTAATTTATCGGACCTTTTTATCTCGATCCTGCGGACAGAATGGAAAGCAGTCGACGTCGCCCAAAATACGCCATTTCGGATCCTCCCGATCCACCAATGGTGCTTAGGTGCTTTTAGGTACCTCAAGCACCGGTCATCGTCGAGGGCTCGACGAGTAAATTAACCTACAGACGTAGCTCACTGAGTTTCTCGCCGGATCTTCTCAGTGGGTCGCGTTTCCGATCCGGTGGTAGATTCCGCGAAGCACGGCTCTTGCTAGAGTTCGTGTTAGCCACATCGTCAGATTTGAGCCCCGTGAGCTCACCTACTAGTTAAGGTTACGTTAAAATAGCCTCTCGAAGCTATCAGCGTAGGTAGGAAAAAAATGACCTTTTTGATGGACTTTCAATCTGATGAAAATTATCTTGAAAGATTCCGTTACATAAAAAGATTTAAAAGATAGATAAAAATTTCAGTTTCGTGGTGATCATAGATTTGGACGGAGTTGTCCTGGGACACCTGTCGCGGTTGGATCTCATGATGTTAAAGAAACTGCTGTATTTTGTACAAGTAAGTCACCTGTTTCTCAAGTTGAAATTAATTGTTAGTTGAGTTAAGCATCAAAAATGAAAACGCATAAATCGCACCTTTAGAATTATGGAAATCCAACCCTAAAATTGCGTTTCTTGAAAAACATCGAATAAAGTTTTCAAACCGATAAGACGTAATGGAAGGGGACGGAGTGAAAGAGACCGATGGATAAGTTTGTCCCTTTCTAAGCCACTTTTGGTCGTGTGATTATTAAGGGTCTCTGAAAGGGGTCGTTTCTAGGTCGATTTTTGAATTATTGCTTCGATGCATGGACATACTCACGGCCCACTTTGTTTTAAGTGCTTACTGGAGCCCATAGACATCTACAACGTAAATGCCGCCACCAACCTTGAGACATGAGTTCTAAGTCTCAGTTTTTACAGTACAACAGCTGCCCAGCCCTATAAACCATAACTCATTAGGGCTTGCTTTACGGCAGAAATAGGCAGGGTGGTGGTACCTACTCGTGCGGACTCACAAGACGTCTTACCACCACCACCAGGTTTCTATAATTCTAAAGGCGCGATATAGGCAGCGGCTTGGCAATGCGCCTGGTATTGCTGAACTCCACGACCAACGGTGACCAGACACCTTTAATTAGGTCCTTAGATTCAACTACACTAAAAACATACTTAATTATTCTATTTTAATTTTAATAAATTTTGTTATAATATTTCTTGTTTTTCTGGCTAGTTGTAGAAGTAGCTTGGAGCATTTAGTGAGTAGTGCCTGCATGAATAGCATTTAGAATTGTTATTGAGTTTCTGCTTGCCACCAGATAGCCTATAAGTCTTCCTTTTCTTCTTTATATTTTGACTCTGGCACGGTTTGTGCATTAGCCAGCGTCAAGTAACAAGATTTTTATAATTCGCCTTTTTAATTATCTACAGTTTATGAATAATAAAAAATGAAGGAAACCCAAATTAATCAACTGAGATGAAACTAAATGAAATGAGATGAGATGATGATATGGAATGAAATATAATCTCAGTAAAATGGTGGTAATTTAGTAAGACTTTTTCAGTCGACTTTTTGGAGGATCCCGAGAAGTTACGTTCAGCGACTTTGTTTCATTTTCCCACATTTGTACACTTTCTCAGATATTAAACAGCTAACAAACCCCCTTATTACACATTTAAACCTGAAGAAACACTAAATAGACAAAATAAAACAAATCACACAACTTCGCTCTTCGCGTTCCCGCCAAAAAGTCTGCCTATAAGTCGTTCACCAATCTAAATATCAGTTGAATAATAACAATAACAAGATTGTCTCGAAAACTACCGCCTTGTTATTCGATTGACTAACGTGTCTCGAATTGTGGGTTCTCGAAGTTCATACATTTTGAAGGATTCGCAGACCCTAGCTTGAAGGCTATTGATTTTTAAACGTTAACTCCAATTTTCCAGGAATGTATGCTGATTAAATTAAAGGAGGTCAACTTTATAAACGCGCCATCCTTCATGGATAAACTGATGTTAATGCTGAAACCGTTCCTCAATAAGCCGCTCCTGGAGATCATCAGGATCCACTCCGTCGGAAGCGAAAAAATATACGAGACGATACCGAAAAAATATTTTCCCATCGAATCTGGAGGGGAGTTTAAAGATATGAACACTATCAAAGGTGCGCTTTTGATTTGTAACAACATTCACGTGCTCAATGAACTATCATTATTCCCGTATGCAGTATTTTGGACAAACTATTTTTTCCTACCTATGCTGGTAGCCTTTAGGAATTAGGAAAAATGAGGGCTATACCAGCGTAACTGGGCGAGTCGGTGAGCTCACGGGACTCTAACTTGACGAGTTTGCTAACCCTTTTTTTTTTAACGCTGGGGAATCCATTTACGGATACCCAGTCGAGGGGGGTAACGGACCGGGCTATGTCGGACTCCGGCGCCTCCTGAGAGGAAGAAGGGGAGAAAAGAAAGGCCGAGGTCCTTCACCTCCCCCAATTTCTCACAGGAGACTACGCCTTGAAAAAGGTGCGCGAAGCACTTGCCCCGCAGAACGAGTACCGACTAAACCCCATCGAGCTCCACCACACCGACTACACAAAACTTATGGTACCGCAGCGCGCGCCGAAAGTCTCGCCTTACCCGGTACCCGTACTAATGTTAAGACGGGATCTCATCCCCGGGATATATCCCGAAGAACCTTGTCTCGGGAGACACACCGTGAGCGGCGCACAGGAGCCACATTTTGCTAACCCTAGCCCTAGGAAAAGCAGTAATTCGCAAAATCTACCACCGGAGTGAGAGCCCACTCAGTGGGCTTTTGGACAAACCAGACCTATTTGAATTTGAACGATTTGGCTCTCGAAGGGCAAGGGCAATAAAAAAACGAAACGCCAATTTTGATCCTACGTACCCTGGGATGGTAGAAGGTGGAACGTATTTCGGACTATAAGCTGGTGGCTTTGTTTCATATATTTATGGCGTACATAGTGTGATGATTATGGGATTCGAGCACAAGTCTTTGACAACGATGTGTAGTTGTGGCTAAATGAAGCAAATTACTAGATCACCCTCTTCTTTTTTTCAGAGGAATTGTGTCAACGGCTCAAGGCAAACCAAGATTACTTCATCAGAGAGAACAAGCGGAAAGTGAACGAAAGCTTGAGACCTGGGGGCAAAGCGGTCGCCGTGGAAAGCCTCTTCGGGATCCAAGGGAGCTTCAAGAAATTAGATATAGACTAAAATTATTTAGTATACAGGCTTGGGACATAGATTGTGGCAAAATAAACGCTATGTGGTTTAGAGGATTGCATTTTATTACCTAAATGCGTAAATATAAATTACGTATGACTTTTATTACGATTATAAATAAGGACAGTGTCGCTAGCCCACTGAGTTTCTCGTTGGATCTTCTCAGTGGCTCGCGATTCTGATCCGGTAGTAGATTAAGCGAAGCACTGCTCTTGCTAGAGCTAGTGTTAGCAATTCTCTCAGGTTGAGCCGGTGAGCTCACCCACCAGTCCACGCGAAGTTAGAATAGCCAGCCCCTTAGGCTGCCAACGATTAGGTGGAGGAAAAAAGTGTCGGAATGGTGGTTATATTAGGTCGTAGTGGTGCCGGGAGATTCATAGCATGGGGGAAAGATGATGGGACGGAAAGGTGGTCGTGGATGAGAATGGCGGAGGATCGATCATTATGGCATTAAAAGGGGACGCCTGTGCCCAGCAGTGGGTATCAAATGGCTATACATATACTATTTATTAATAATACGTGAAGCGAAAACTTTGTACCCCTTTTTACGAAAACTGCGCGGACGGAGGAGTATGAAATTTACTTTTTTATTTTTTAATTCTTAGATCGTTGGACGAGCTCACAGTCCACCTGGTGTTAAGTGGTTACTGGAGCCCATAGACATCTACAACGTAAATCCGCCACCCACCTTGCGATATAAGTTCTAAGGTCTCAGTATAGTTACAACGGCAGCCCCTTCAAACTGAAACGCATTATTGCTTCACGGCAGAAATAGGCAGGTTGGTGGTACCTACCCGCACGGACTCGCAAGAGGTCCTACCACCAGTAATTACGCAAATTTTAATTTTGCGGGTTTGATTTTTGGTTTGGTTTGTTTTTTTATATTATAGAAGTATAATCGTGTTTGACGTGTTTATTGATTAGTATTTTTTATTATGTATTTTTCATCAATTTGGTTACGATATAAATACTAGTAAAATTATGATACTTTGAGTTTGCTAAATAGAAAGAAACGAAGAGATTTTGATCCGAATTGTCACTTTCAATGAAAAATTTACTCTTTTTGACAGCCTTAAGCGTTATCATCATCTAGCTAATCCCTCAAACGAAAACATATCCCTAAAATGTCATGGTCACTGTTTGGTTGTCTAGTGCCGGTATAATTCACCACTGATCTCGCCCAAAACACGTCATTACGGATCCTCCCGATCCATTAAAAGTGCTTTTAGGTACTACAAGCACCGGTCATCGTCCTCGTTGAACACGTCGCTTGCGACGAAGGGCTCGACGAGCGAATTAACCCATAGACACAGCCCACCGAGTTTCTCGCTGGATCTTCTCAGTGGGTCGCGTTTCCGATCCGGTGGTAGATTCTGCGCAGCATTGCTCTTGCTAGGGTCAGTTTTAGCAACACTCCGGTTTGAGCCCTGTAAGCTCTCTATGTTAGGGCGAAGCTGAAATAGCCTTTCAAGGCTATCAGCATAGGTAGGGAAAAAAAAATCTCGCTCGCCTGTACACAGTCAACGAACTGTTGTACTTGCCGGGGGTGTCCATTGAAGGTTGGCGCTCTGGAAGAGGGCCTGCGCAATGTAACCGTTGCCAGGCCTTCGGCCATGCCTCCACCGTCTGCCACCGTGTGATCCGCTACGTACGTTGTGCTGGAGAGCACGTGGTGTGGACTGCCCGAGCCTGAGGGAGGGCCCATTTACCTGTGCCAACTTTGGTAAGGACCACGCTGCCGTCGACAGACAGTACGGGATCTACCGTAGGAAGGTTAGGCCGATGGGACAAGCAACAAGCTAGGGTTAGAAGTTTAACGTCATTCACCGTACTGACTTTTACCAGTATGCGTCTCTATACTTATGCAGTGCTTATGTAAAGCGTCCCAATAGCACCTGTACTAAAATATCAGGCTAATAGCATCCATTGTTGTCGTGTGATATAAATTATTTTCAAATCAATGCATTATTTTAATAACATTCAAACTCGACAAATTTATTTCAACGCTCCGTTGCTATTTTAAATTGTTATGTACTCGACAAATTATCCACACTTTAGGCGCCATAATTGATGTGAACTTCCTTTCGACTGCATATATAAAGGGATGTGTTTATCAAAAACCCTAGTGTTGTGGTATAATCAAAACATGAAGCTATTCGGTGTTATTTTCGCGGCTATGGTCGCTGCATTGGCTGTTGTGGTAAGCCTTTTGTTATTTTAAACTGGTTAGTGTCTAGGATTTGGAATGTCCTTAGAGGATGAGATCACGTAATAGTCGTATGCACGACCTTTTTTTTTTTCTTTCCTACAATTCTAGATACCTCGAGGGGTCACACTAGTTTCACCGAAGGACTAGGTGAGCTCACGGGGATCTAACTTAGAGACGTTGCTAACACTAGCCCTAGCAAGAGCAGTGCCTCGCAGAATCTACCACCGGATCGCGACCCACTGAGAAGATCCGGCGAGAAAATCAGTGGGATCAGATTTTTTTTTTAACTTCTTAATTTTAATTCGTCAGAAAGTATTGTTAACGTCAATAATATTTAAAGCGAAACTTGGCAACTTTTACATTTTATATATCTATTTGTTGGAGCATAATATCTCTTTATCTTTGAGGATTTGTCTCTCGAATTTATACAGAAATACATGAAGTCAGCGTCGGAACGGTACTTCGATAAGCCTATGCGTCATGATAATCGCCTTATCGTTGCCGCCGCTGACTACTCCCCGAATCCTGATCACGCAGGAGCCAGTCAGCGTCGACGCCCTAGACACGTCCTTACGGATCCATCAGATCCAATAACCTTTGCATTAGATGCCTTCAACTCTAACACTAGGAGCAGGCTTAGGGACCTTGGTAACCGTACTCGTCGAACTCGACAAAGAGTTCGCCGTGCAACCTAACCCATGAATCAGTTCGCTGAGTTTCTCGCCGGATCTCCTCAGCGGGTCGCGATTCCGATCCGGTAGTAGATTCATTCGCGAAGCAGCTACTTTGAGCTGTTAGGTCTCCTTCGGAGGCGCTCGGGTAGCTGTTAGCAAATCCCACCCCTCCTGGCTGAGCCTTTGCTCGCCCACCTGTCCTGGTGAAACTGGAAAGGCCTCCGGGCCACCAGTAAACCTTCAATCATAAAAAAAAAAGGATTTGTCTGAGATTATTACGTTTTAAGGATTCTACCGTTTTATCACTCGTGATTCAGCTGAATGAGACGGGCTCTAGTCTGTCTAAATTAAAGAATTAAAGTCCGCCATTTTTCTATGACGTCATCGAAGATTAAGTGCGAATGTGCGATAGAGATAGCGATGTTCGTACTACTGTTACGCGCTGGGGTTCGGGATAAATAAAATTCCACCGAAGCAAAACTTAAAAACTGTATTCAACACTTAGAACACTTAAATCACTGCACAAACACTTTAAAATTCTCAATTGGATTCTTCTGCTTCGCTTCAGGTGATCCGTTCGGTGTTTCGCTTTTATAGTCGAGACGAAATCTCTTTAGAATCATCGAGAATATTCCACAAAAGTCTAGTATTGTGTGTTTCCGCTATCTGACAATAGATGGCGTTGTACTTTTCGAGAGTTCTAGATGTTGCTAGATCCTTCGATATTCGGCGATAGATGGCGTTACTCTTACTGGCGTAACACTACGTGCGCCTCAACCCTCCTTGGATCCAACGAAGTTTACATAAAGTATTTTTGCGATGACCTTTAGAGTGGTATGTTTACAATAATGTATAAAAATTTGTTGTCTATAAACTCAGTTTGTGGAGAGTATTAAGGGGTAAGCAGCGGCTTGGCTCTGCCGTCCATGAAGTCCATGGGCGACGGTAACCACTCACCATCAGGTGGGCCGTATGCTCGTCTGCCTACAAGGGCAATAAAAAAAAGTCTCGACAGAGGAATCGTACAATTTCAATGTAAGGTAATTAACGGTTTTGCTTCCAACAGAGCGGGATGAGTATTGAAGGGGCACGCGCAGGGTGCAAGGGATGGTCGGGAGGATCTTCTCCATCACCACCACCGACAAGTAAGAGATTACTTTACAAGTCCTCTGAGCCTGATCCTAATACGGACACCCAGCTTCATCCAAGTAGTTTGGTGATATATAGGATATCTGTAGCCAAATGTTTGTATTGAAAATAGAGAGAAAGACGATTCTTATTTGGAAAAATTGGCGAGAAAACGCAAAAACTAAAAAACCGTTTTTTTTTGTCTTGAAGTTTGGTCGGACTCACAGCTGGTGTTAAGTGATTACCGAAGCCTATAGACATCTACAATGTAAATGCCACCACTCACCTTGAGATATGAGTTCTAAGGTCTCAGTATAGTTACAACGGCTGCCCCACCCTTCAAACCAAAACTGAAATTGGTACCTGCTTGCGGGATTCGAGCATCGCTGCATCGCTAGATGCGACTGCACCGGACGTCTTATCCTTTAGGCCACGACGACGTCATTTGGGGCTAAAATATTCAACAAGTTACCTATAAAATGATGATGATGTATTCAATGTCTCTTTTGGCAATGGTGGCTTCTACAGGTGCGGATACTTAAAATATCATAGTACCTTAAGTGTTAGTGAATCTAGAACATTCTCGAACTTTTAGGTCAATGGACGACAAAAACGTATTACTATAACCGTATTATTTTTTTGATTATTATTTGTCCATAATATAACTTTATTTTTGTTTACGTCTAAATAATGAACCATAAGTAACGTTGACAAAAAAAATAAGTGTATAAAATAATTACATAATCATATCTGTACACTGACGATTGGCCAGCCGTACATGACGTCATGCTTTGTGTGAAAAGAGCGCTAATTTTTTTTGGATTCTTCACGTAATAAATTACTAATTAAAGTAAAATAAATATTGGATGGTCGTTAAAACTTAATCATTAATATCCCATATGTATTTTTCTAAGTGGTCTCCGTTCGCCTACTATTATTGTTCTGCAATCAGTATATTCATTCTTAATTGTATTTTATTGATTCTCTGTCACTTTTTTGTTTTGCAGACAGTACACGTTAAGCATTTGCTGATGATCGAAAAAGCACTGAAGACGAACGGCTGCTTGTTTTACATACTGGATCCGATTAAATGTTTTAGTTGATATTGTTTTGTTTTGATCATAGATGTAAGCTTTCATTCCCAATTTAAGCTCTGTGAAAAAATATATATAATAAACCTTAAGAGCCCTTAAGAGACTTTTCTGGCTTCACCATGATTGGAGGGTGAGCTCATTGGGCTCAGCCTGACATACGTTGCTTACAATGCTTTAAATGCGTCGAGGCCTGAAGGATAAGACGTCCGGTTCGTGGTGAACGATGCACCGGTGTTCAAATCCCACAGGCGGGTACCAATTTTTCTGATGAAATACATACTTCACAAATGTTCACAATTGACTTCCACGGTGAAGGAATAACCTTGTGTAATAAAAATGAAATCCGCAAAATTATAATTTGCGTAATTACTGGTGGTAGGACCTCTTGTGAGTCCGTACGGGTAGGTACCACCACCCTACCTATTTCTGCCGTGAAGCAGTAATGCCTTTCGGTTTGAAGGGTGGGGTGACCGTTGTAACTATACTGAGACCTTAGAACTCATATCTTAAGGTGGGTGGCGGCATTTATCTTGTAGATGTCCATGGACTCCGGTGACCACTTTACACCACTGTGGACTGTGAGCTCGTCTACCTATCTACGCAATAAAAAAAAAAGATGGACATGGATCGCTTACGACAAGGCCTAGAATTACACAGATTATCTTTTCAAAGCTCATTAAGTTTAGTCCGGAATCAAAATTGGATTCTGTGTTGCAGTAGTCTACATGAGTAGATCGAATAGGGCTTAATTTTTTGACAAGTTATGAAAATCAAATAAAAAACTACAATCAACGTCATTTATTGACTTTTCGACAGGAGAATTTCATGAAAATGCAAAAAAAAAGAATACAATAAAAAAATCATAAATACTAGCTCGACTAAAATACGAAACGATATATGGCATTTTAGAGTATTACAGTTGAATCTTAAACGCTAAATAATCCAATAATGACCTAATATACAAATACCAATCTATATATATAAAAATGAATTGCTGTTCGTTAGTCTCGCTAAAACTCGAGAACGGCTGGACCGATTTGGCTAATTTTGGTCTTGAATTATTTGTGGAAGGTCAGAGAAGGTTTAAAAGGTAGATAAATATGAAAATGCTCGGAATTAAATAAAAATAAAAATTTTGTTTGTCCTTTGATGTGTCCCCCGTCGGACGGATTCCTTTTGTTTGTTTTATGTTTATTTTATACAAAAGCTTAGGTCTTTTATTTATCGATCGAGGCACTACGAAGTCTGCCGGGTCAGCTAGTAATAAATATATATTTAAGTAAATATTAATTTCAATCGGTTCACAGTTACTAAGATTGATACGAAATTGAATTCATCATAAAACAATTTAAAAATAGTCTACTCAAAATTACTCGAAAGTCAAATGTATTTGACAATAGCAAAAGGTGTATTTTGTAAAAGCATTATTAGCCTTATATGACAAGTCTGCAATCCAAGATGGCTTCTTGGCAGAAATTCTTATGAAGCCGATCTTACTAAACGTGTAACCGATACTGATAGATTTTAATAATGTATTGAAAGCCTTCTCAAAATAATCCACGAGAATATGGTTTTTGCCACTAATCATTCACTTTCAGAGTGATTAAGTGAAAACTTCCAAAGCGAAACAGTTTTGTTTACGATTGAAAGATTACTTGTGGCCCGGAGACCTTTCCAGTTTCACTAGGACGCGAAATTGTATGACCTACATTTGCGAAGAGAATCATTGATGAATTTCGTAACATGACGAGTTAGTATCATAATTATTGAGATTACGAAAAATCAGATTATTCTATTTTGTTTAAACCAAATTGAAATTGAACTATCGAAAAGTTCTTTGGGTCTTCTCGAATTGGTCTACTGTTCAAGTTCCTGCAGGTGCTGTTTCTCTTCTTCCTCCCTGAGGAGAGCCTCTCTCTCCGCCGCGATCCTCGCGTGCTGCTCGGCGATAACGCGGAAGAGCTCAGAGTGTTTCAAGGTGGCTTCGGCGACGGCGGCTGATTGACGAGGAACACTGGTTTCTGTAATGTTACCGTACTTTATTGTGGAGACGTGGAATTCAGATTGGGATTGGGGACTTGGATTGGGCATTTGTTGTTGGATGAAGATTCATCATCACCTGATTGTGTGTAATTAAATAGATAGTCGATCTATTAGCCCACATACGTCCGCCCACTGTCGGATATAGGCCTCCCTTAAGCCTCGCCACAATGATCGGTCCTGCTTTGCCTGTATCCAGCGGATCCCCGCGAACCTCAATAGGTCGTCGGTGCTCCGCGCTACGTCTTCCGGTACGCGGACGCCACTTGAAGACTTTTCGCCCCCAATTGATTAAATCCACTTAATCTATCTACTAAGAGCAACACCGTTTTATTGATACAAAAATAATATTGTAATGACTTGGTGTAGCTTTGTATTGCAAGACTCATAGGCTATGGCTTACAAAGACCCATAGAATGTACAAGATATACATGCAAGACTTAATTTTTTTGTCATACTTAATTCTATAAACTCTGAGCTTGCTTGTGATCGAAAATTTAAAAAAAAAAATGACTATTTGTAACGCAACTTAATGATTTGAATACTTGATAGGATTAGCGCAATTAAATATGTCTTAATTAACTACCGGAGCGAATGGGCATCACAACGTGATCATCGACTAAGTTGAGAACTGATTTCGGTTGAGCGCATTGTATTTTTATTTATTTATTGCTTCGATATGTGGCAGAGCACATGGCCCGTCTGGTATTAAGATATTACCGAAGCCCATAGACATCTACAATGCGCCACCCACCTTGAGATATAAGTTCTCAGTATAGTTACAACGGCTGCCCCACCCTTCAAAGCGAAACGCATTACCGCTTCACGGCAGAGATAGGTAGGGTGGTGGTATCTACCCGTGAGGACTCACAAGAGGTCCTACCAGCATTAAGAGACTTGAGAAATAAGTCTCAGTTCTATGGTACAACGGCTACCCCCTTCAAACCCATCACTGCATCGCAGCAGGAAAGGCTTAGTTACCTTCACAGGCAGATAAGCGTTCAGTTTTTACAAACATAGATCATTGCATTGCTGGTTCAAATCGAAGGAAGTCACCATTGAATGCTTACTTAAGTCATGTTCACGAATAACATCCACGATGAAGGAATAGCATCGTTTCGGCAATTACTTATAGGACGTTTCGTGATCTGACATGGGTAGCTACCACCGCCCTGCCTATTACTGCCACTAATCATTCTGGTTCTGAATTGAAGAGCAGTGCGACTGTTGTCCTATAGAACTGAGTCTTAAAACTAGTGTTTCCAGATGAGCTCCAGTAACCAATTAGCACCAGGGTTGGCTGTCGCAAAATTGCCTCTGTATTAACCAGTTGACGAATTTTCATACCATAAGGATGTGGATGTTGGGCATGCTCTTCAGCAATCTTGGAGTATAGCTGGAAGTGCCTGTCTTTAGCCAAGGCTACGGATTCAGAGTCAGCCGGGTGCTCTGGAGGCACGTCGCTCAGTATCGGATGGAAGCCTTCCTTGTCAGCCACATAGTCCACTGTCCGAACCTTGTGACGTGGGTCGACGTACGCGAATTTTCCTGGAACATGACGAAGAAATGTTATTAGACAATGTTTTGGAGCATAGCCATCGGAGCACCAGGGTTCCTAAGGAACGTGGAACTCCATGATGACCTGGAACTTGACTCAGTCAGTAAGTATCTACAGTCGGCATCATTGCGCCACTTTGAGAAGGCGGCACGACATGAGAACCCTCTTGTCGTGGCCGCTGGAAATTACATACCCGATCCTGCAAACCGAATGGTAAACAGTCGACGTCACCTAAAACACGTCATTACGGATCCTCTCGACCCATTAACGGTACTTTTAGGTACCACAAGCACCGCTCACCGTCTTCGTCGAACCCGTCGCTTGCGACGAAGGGCTCGACGAGTAAATTAACCCTCAGACACAGCCCACTGAGATTCTCACCGCGTTTCCGATCCGGTGGTAGGTTCTGCGAAGCATGGTTTTTGCTAGGGTTCGCGTTAGCAACAACGTCAGGTTTGAGCCCCGTGACCCTCACCTACATGTTAGGGCCAAGCTGAAATAGCCTTTCAAGGCTATCAGCATAGGTAGGAAAAAAAAGACAATGTCAATTTATGGAGAAAATGTTTTTGAACACAGTGCAATTGTACTCGCTCTCACGGAATATCAGTTTTAATTTTCTTGGTATGAACGACTGTATTTCCTCCTCCTGGCGTCGTTTCCTCGTTGATGGTCGTGACCGTCATGCTTAGAAAATATTTAGTCTTTTGTTTATTTTATTTTCCAGCGTGTCCGTTAATTGGCCGCGTGAAGAGCTTCAAGAAAGGGGGTTTCTAGTGTGGTGCGGATTTGATCGAGCCATTGTCGGACTGCGCCCGCGCGGTCTCTTTCCCTCAAATTTCCCAGTCACGAACAGCCTCTCTAAGCTATCAAGTGAGCGGCTGTATAATGCTATGAAAAAGAACTACTATTGTTCACAGCCGATAAGTCAGGAATGAGGAGCCATGCGGGCTCGCAACGCCTACCATAATAATAAATAGTTGTTCTATTGTTGGCAAAAAAAAATACGTTAACTAAATACTATTTAATTTGAATTCAAAAATGATCTCGTTATTGTATACGGTATTTTAGTGTTGCGCATTAGTTTGGTCTTAAAAATGTAGTCTTCTCATCTGCGCTTACTTATTCCAAGTTTGTAATTCTAAGCTTATTTTGCCTCCACTTATTTTAACTCTATAGAAGGTCTTCGAGTTATATTTAAAAACTAGCGACTCGCCCTCGCTTCGCTTCGGAAACATTAAATTTTATTATTGGTAGTTGAGTCCCGCGATGTTACCCGCGGTTATTGTCGTACATCGGGTGAGGCCGCGGGGCGAAGCTAGTCTAAAAAAAGTAGCCTAAGTTACTCCTTATATCATCAACTACCTATCAGTGAAAGTCCCGTCAAAATCGGTCCAGCGGTTCCAGAGATTAGCCGGAACAAACAGACAGACAGACAGACAAAAATTGTAAAAAAAATGTTATTTTGGTGTATGTACCGTATATATATTAATATGCATGTAGTAAAAAGCGGTTATTTTAATATTACAAAGAGACACTCCAATTTTATTTAAATGTATAGATAACCGAGACGCAATTCTAGTCGAGACCTTCAAATTACGCCACATCTCGTGTGCTTTGTAATCTCTTCTCGTCTTTGAGGAGGCTTAAACTAATTTAAGCATTTAGCTATGTTTCGTGCTCTGAATATTATTATCGATATTAGAAACATAACGTCTAACATCCGAGTTAGGCTAACAGCCAAAATCAACTTTCATGCATTTGTTTCACGGACTATTTTTAATTCTACTGCTAATGTACTTACACTGAATGAATTTCATTGAACGATTGAGCTTTGTTAGAAATTGCGTCGGCAATTGTTTCAAGGATTTTGTATCTGTGTCTCACCTGTTATTTGGCTAATGGTAGTACGGTAATATCCATTACTTCGAAGCTGTTTATTTTATTATTATGTACATAGAGTATACACATATTTTAATATTAGCTGCTACTAAATGCTCGCTAAATACACGCTAAATCAGGATTCTAATTACGAGCGTAAACAATAATTATTAAGTATCGCTATAAAAATAATAAGAAAAAGCTCTAAAAGTGGAAAATGAAAAATAAGATAAGCACAATAATTATTAAACTAAAAATATATTAAAAACTAGCTGACCCGGCAGACTTCGTAGTGCCTCAATCGATAAATAAGAGACCTAAGCTTTTGTATAAAATAAACTTAAAACAAACAAAAGGAATCCACCCGTCGGGGGATGCATCAAAGGAAAAACAAAACTGTTATTTTTATTCAATTCCGAGAATTTTCATATTTATCTACCATTTAAACCTTTTTTCTCTGGACTTCCACAAATAATTCAAGACTAAAATTAGCCAAATCGGTACAGCCGTTCTCGAGTTTTAGCGAGACTAACGAACAGCAATTCATTTTTATATATACCTATATATATATATATATATATATATATATAATAAACCACGTCATGGTCGAAGGAAATTTAAACAGTCGGAAAATGAATTCCTGTCAATATTAGCATTTGAAGCAGAGGACAGACTCATGAATGGTTGTATAATACACAGAAAAAAGAACGAGAAATCTAAAAAAAAGCAACGGATAAGACGACCAGTATACTCGTCTCAAATGATGGAACTGCGCCAGAGCTCAGGTCTCGCTGGTGGGTCAACCTTTATGCTTAATTAATTTCATTTTGGGTGCACGTATTTTTAAAGTGTTTCGGGAGGTTTAACGACCAAGATGGAGGAGATGGTCACGACCCTTCGACATGAGCAATGCGACTCAGGGAGGGATGAGTAATGACCAAGAGGAGATTTGCCACCGAGCTTGTGAAGTTGCTCGGTAGACCGACGGTCCGAATGTAGTTGTTCGGAACTTGTATATACACAAGCTTATCTTGAAAATGTCGTAAGGAAGATTCAGGCATCTGTCAAATATCTTGCGTTCTATGATGGCTACCCGCCACAATCTTTATATAGGTATATATTTCTTCTGTGCGTGTGTTTGTCACTGAACTCCTCCTAAACGGCTGGACCGATTTTAATGAAATTTTCTGTGTACCTTCAGGTGGATTCGAGAATGGTTTAAATTTACAAATCGGCCCGGCAGATGGCGCTGCAGTCGGTATCTAGGCTATTTATCTTTCCTAGAAATAATTTATATGGCAAAACAAGGTTTGCCGGGCCAGCTAGTCTATACTAATATTATTATCTATACTATAATATTATAAAGAGGAAAGATTTGTTTGTTTGTTTCGAATAGGCTCCGAAACTACTGGACCGATTTGAAAAATTATTTTTCCATTAGAAGCCGACATTGTCCCTGATGAACATAGGCTACTTTTTTTAATTTTCTTTTAATTTTTTTTTGGTTTCATGTGTGTTTTAATGTTTCCGAAGCGAAGCGAGGGCGGGTCGCTAGTATTATATAAAGAGGAAAGATTTGTTTGTTTGTTTGTATTGAATAGGCTCCGGAACTACTGAACCGATTTGAAAAAATCTTTCACTGTTTGGAAGCTACACTATTCTCGAGTGACATAGGCTATAATCTTTTTTGAAATAAATTAGGGATTCTTACTAAAACTTCAATGATGTAACTCAAGGTATAAAAAAATTACCTAAAATATTCTTTACATCGCGTGACCTGCCGCGTGAAAACTATTGATGATAGAATAAAATAATGTACTACGACTTTGTAGAACACATTATTATTTACAAAAAGTGACGCGGCAGCACATATCTAACTATTACAGTTATGCCGCAAGAAGTGTTCTTTTATTTAAAAAAATTATACAATGTCAAATATCGTTGAATTTTTTGTTAAAGACCCGAGCGGAGCCGAAGCATGCCGCTAGTGTTATATAAAATTTTATAGACTATAACTGCTAGTTACCGCATCATAGTACTGTAGAATAAAACATGTTATCGTGCTCTATATTCTTGTAGTATCACTAAGACCAAACGCAAAGTACACAACGAAGTTTATGACTAAAAAGCAACTTTCACCTGTTTACGTTAGAATTCAAATTGCGCAAATTCCGTGTTGCGTAGAATTGGTTCTTCTGAGGATAACTNAATTTTATAGACTATAACTGCTAGTTACCGCATCATAGTACTGTAGAATAAAACATGTTATCGTGCTCTATATTCTTGTAGTATCACTAAGACCAAACGCAAAGTACACAACGAAGTTTATGACTAAAAAGCAACTTTCACCTGTTTACGTTAGAATTCAAATTGCGCAAATTCCGTGTTGCGTAGAATTGGTTCTTCTGAGGATAATTGAACACAAATTAAACTAGTTTTATCTTGGATTATATACATTTAGTTGCAACATGTGGCTAATAAACTTAATGCCTCAGACACAAAAATAGTCGCAGTCAAACCTATACAGGCTTTGTGTAATGAAAACGGGACATTTTATCATTAGGCAATATAAATGTTCAACTTAAGGCGTATTTATAATGCACGTACATTGAAATTCATCTCTCATGATAAAAGGAGCTATCGATGGTTTGAATAAACTGGATCACATATATTTAGTTGCAATATGTGGCTCAAAATTAACGCCTCAGACACAAAAATAGTCGCAGTCAAACCTGTACAGGCTTTGTGTAATGGAAACGGGACATTTTATCATTAGGCAATATAAATTTTCAACATAAGGCGTATTTATAATGCACGTGCGTTGAAATTCATCTCTCATTATAATAGGACCTATCGATGGTATGAATGGACTCAAATGACCAAATGAAGTTGGGATAAATCTGATTAAAGCCAGAGGTTGATTGAAATAAAACTTAGGTAACATATGTTATCATCATCGGTGAGTCCCTTATTCCGCTTGAACCCCAACAAGCTTGATTCTTCCATATTCTAAAGCTCCAATTAATCCTTCAATCACTTTGACTGACCACTGCCAACTACAATTGAGTTTAGCAATAGCACTTCCTTTTTTTTGTCCTACCTATGCTGATAGCCTTATGAGGCTATTTCAGCTTCACGCTAACATGTAGGTGAGCTCACGGGGCGCAAACCGGAAGTGTTGCTAACACTGGCCCTAGCAGAATAGTGCTTCGCAGAATCTACCACCTGGTGTTAAGTGTTTACTGGAGCCCATAGACATCTACGACGTAAATGCGTCACCCACCTTGAGATATAAGTTCTAAGGTCTCAAGCATAGTTACAACGGCTGCCCCACCTTTCAAACCGAAACGCATCACTGCTTCACGGCAGAAATAGGCAGGGTGGTGGTACCTACCCGCGCGGACTCACAAGAGGTCCTATCACCAGTAAAACAGTACCGTACCTCTCACGACTCCGCTGCCGTCACTGACTTCGGTATGCTCCCTGTCAACGTGTCCAGGGAATCGTCCAGCAGTATAAGAGAACACGTAGGGCTTCGGTGGAGGATCAGGCGTGGTCGTCTCGAGGTGAGACACGTCGCAACTGGTCAGGCCTGCAGCCAGCACCAGAATGAGTGTGTGGCACAGCATCTGGAGAGAAGATATGGGGAGAGGTCAGGTTTCGTTCGATTTTGATCTTTATGTGTCAAGGTGGCTCGTTGTATTTGCATTGTAATCGTGAATATTAGTGACCCTTAAAGGTGAAATAGTTTATTCAGTTGCTTCATAAAACTCTGCTAATAAAATCAAACCTACAAAATTATAATTTGCGTAATTACTGGTAGTAGGACCTCATGTGGAGATCTTAGAACTTATATCTCAAGGTAGGTGGCGGCATTTACGTTGTACATGTATATGGGCGCCGGTAACCACTTAACACCAGGTGGGCCGTGAGCTGGTCCACCTACCTAACCAATAAAAAATTCAAAATAATAATTAAGTTCTGAAATTAGCTTCGAAAGTACAATAAGGTCATTATTATTCACAATTCCTAAAAGGGTCTCAAGATGTTCACGAACTCTACTTAGAACGTTCAATCTTGTTCGAACATAATTCATCCAAACAACTTAGTACCACCACCACTACCTTTCTTATTTACATCGCAAGTAGACCTGGGTAATATCTAGTAATAAATATGGACTTGCCGTTGTACCAATGAGTATTTGGGGTCATGTCTGGAAACGCTCGACAACATTGACGTCATAGGTCTATGAGAACTGATACCCAAGACCAAACAGGTTATGGATGGAGACATATCCATAAAAGTAAATATGATAAGGCATAGACAGAGACCCGTGGCACGGTGGACGCTTTTGATTAGGTCGACTGATTACAAAGCTAATAAAACAAACATTACGTGTATTGTACAAAAATATTTAGATCAATACGCAATTTATTTTCCAATTTTTAGCTCAAAAAATTCGCAATTAATCGCAAACAAAAAGTTTTAGCGGCAATTGTCTTGTAGTGTAGTATAATATATAAGTCATGTAATTTGTAATAATTGAGGAGTATTAAACCAACACTTGGACAAGACAGTTGTTTTCATTTTAACTATAGTAGAATTATTTTGTCGCTGCAGTTTGGGTCATAAAACATAGCCCGGCTAGGGCGGTGAGCATGTTGCGCGGGTGCAACGCCATTATCGATATAAAACAAATGAGTCATCGAAGGCAGGTACACGGCGGCGGGGTGGTATACGAAGGGTGGTGAGACATTGTTATGTTAAGAGTCTTTGCAAGTTATAGTACATTATGTCGAAGAGAAATGTGTTTTTATGCATTTGTTCTCTGAATTTCTTTGGTGACACAATGGCTACTCCTTTGTTTTGTATCAAAACGGCAGAATTTATTCATATCATCAATAATATTTGCACGTGTTGTTATCAACAATGTGTTAAAAATTTTCACTGAAATAAGAATAAATCCCGAAAAGTTACAAAGTGTTAATTTCTGCCGTTCTCGTTAACTTGCTGCGGCGATGTGTGGTGTAAATGTTCGATTAGTGATTTTTTCTTTCATTTTTATCACTAACCCACAAAATGCCAAAACTAAATACACTATCGATAACGCTTATCGATAACAAAAATGCGCTTCACTATGCCCGTCCATAAGGCTTGTGAGTGGAAGAGAGAGGGAAATAGTCGTTTCACCGCTCCGATTTTTTATGACCCAAACTGCAATGACAAAATAATTCTACTATAGCAACTCCCTTCAGTCTGATGTATATTAGACGGAGGTAGGCAGACCTGTGTGGACTCTAAGTAATTCGAATTGGGAATTTCATTACAAAGAGATATAAACAAAAACTGAACACCGGCTTAAAAGTCACCGATCCGTGCAAAAAGTTCTCATTATTTTCCAGATGAAATCTCATAAATTAGGTGGTTTGTTATCATACAAGTTTTCGGAAAACCCGTTTTGGGATGTGGTGAACAAACCAGCTTGTGTTTTACTCCGTCAAATGTTTTGATGAGATCATAATAATTTTTTATATTTTAACTAGCTGACCCGGCAGACTTCGTAGTGCCTCATTCGATAAATAAAAGACCTAAATTTTTATATAGAATAAACTTAAAACAAACAAAAGGAATCCGTCCGACGGGGGACACGTCAAAGGGAAAACAAAATTGTTATTTTTATTTAATTCCGAGAATTTTCATATTTTTATACCTTTTAAACCTTCTCTGGACTTCCACAAATAATTCAAGACCAAAATTAGCCAAATCGGTCGAGCCGTTTTCATGTTATGTCGTGACAACGGAAAACGGGTTTCATTTTTATATATATAGATTAAATGAGAAATTTGAAGAAATTCGGTAATCGAGAACAATTGGTACTTACTCTGTATGTGTGTTAGATTTCGAAAAAGTTCCCATAAATTTACGTGAACTGGAAAACCAACACAAAAACAATAATGATTTACTAAAAAAAATATATTATCTTACTATTATACTATGAAAACGTTCTAAGTATGGCTTAAGATTTTTTATTTCTAAGAAGTTTGAAAGATTGGTGTTTATATGCACAGACAAATTTTTTCCTACTTAATCGCTAATAGTCTAAAGAGCCACTACCAGCTCATGCTCTGAAGAGACACATATACATAATATATTATGTACATACTACAAATACACAGCATACTCTTAGATTTTTAATAATCATATCTAAGTATTTTACTGATTCTGAAAGACAGTCTGTAAATTATCAGTAACCCTTGATCAGTACCCGAGATCCAATCAAAAATGTTTATAAAAAAACTATTTATTTTTTATGGTCGATTGAATTGACGATCGTCGTCCGTGACCACGAAAACTGTAAATGACAATAAAAAACGCGAGATGAATCTGTAACAGTACTTTTAATTATGTTTACGACTCGCTAAAACCGATGAAAATACTATTTCTATTGTAGCTATATGAGTAGATTCCTTACATAACGAGGGACTTTTTGGCGGGAACGCGAGGAATGAAGTTGTGTGATTTATTTTATTTTGTCTAATTAGTGTTTCTTCAGGTTTAAATATGTAATAACTGTGGTTTATTAACTGTTTAATATCTGTGATAGTGCACAAATGTTGGAATGTAGTGTAATGAAACAAAGTGTAATGAAACAAAGCCGCTGAACGTAACTTCTCGGGATCCTCCAAAAAGTCCACTGAAAAAATCTCAGTAAACGAACACCGTTTTACTGAGATTATATAATTTTATCCCATATCAATTATTTCATCTCATTTCATTTAATTTCATCCCAGTTGATTAAGATCTCAAATTAATCATCTTCATTTCATTTCACTCCATATTATCATTTTTCATAAAAATAAGTATATAAATTAAAATAAGACATGACCTAAAGGTCTTCGTTACCAGGTCATAAAAAAAAATATATTATATTACGAGTATAATGTGACTGTCAGACAATCGTATAAGCGCCGATAGCATCTGTTTGGTTTAGCTTGTTTAGAAGCATCTCCGATTCACAGAACCTGTTCTGGTGACCTTTCGAGGTTCATTGCGTCACGACCTAAGTGGGATCCGCTTGCACGGCGGGCCACTGAACTGGCGTTTTTTTATATTATTATTTGTTTTTCTCAATTTATATTTGGATGTAAATAAAATTCCATGTGTAAGATCGTCTTTTTTGGGAGAACATTGTTGTTGTCACATAAATTTAATGATTTAATCTATTTGTTCATTATACGTTAGTCTTTCTGACGTTTTCTTTTTTTCTTTAATTTACAATGTGTTCTTTAAGGGAACAAACAGCGTAGTCAAGGTGACGTTTTTATGTCAAAGGTGTTACAAGTCATAAAGAGCAGCATTAATAAAAAAAAACGTATAATATACTCGTATATAAAAAAAAATATATATTGTTTTGTATCTTGTAATATGTATATATTATTATATGTAATGTTTACTGTATGCATTAGGTTTGTGTTCCTAATTCTTCTTTCCTTCTGCGGGCCTACTGAAAGAAATTTCAACATGAAATAAGTATTGCCCTTGTACTCTGTATCCTTATTGTCGTGTTTCTTCTAACAGCTGTGTGTACAAAATATATTAAATAAATAAATAAAATAAATAAACAACATTTAAATTTAAACTTTTCGCATTCTTCTGTTGAATGTACCGGAGAAATACAAGAATTAATGCATTCATATTTTATTTTCAAGAAAGACCTTTGTTAGTAGAACGTAAAATCAGTCCGCGTCGATAAATGCCTGTAGTCAGCCTATTTCTCCTCAAAGCGGTCATGCATCCTGGCAATCCTACAACTCAAATGTCGCCACCCTCCTTAAGATACAAGTTCTAAGGCCTCAGTATAGTTACAACGACTGCCCCGCCCTTCAAACCGAAACTCATTACTGCTTCACGGCAGAAATAGGCGGGATCCTACCACCAGGCTCACAAGAGGTCCTACCACCAGATTCACAAAAGGTCCTACCACCAGAAAAGACTACGTACGATACGATCGTTCACCAGACGAGAATGGTGACACATACGTTAGTAGGTAATTAAACAACAAAATTGTTTCTATGGCAAGCTTAATGCCGGTTGTACACCCTCGTCTAGTCGTCTCGTGTGCCTCTCGTCCGCTCTCACGTAGAGGTTCGACACGAGACCACACCGTTGCGATGGACCTAGAAGAAACTGACGCAGTTGGAGGATAACTAAACGAATGAGTGTGTACAGGCGCGCTTTCATTTTCATTACGAGACTCCCCGAGATCCTTCGACACGAGGGCTAAAACCGCTTCCGAAAGAGAACGGGAGCCACAAGACGAGACGAGGAACTCGTAGTGTCTCAACGAGCTTATACAGCCGGGTGAGCCCACTGGGTTTCTTGCCGTATCTTCTCAGTGTGTCGCGTTTCCGAACCGGTAGTAGATTCTGCGAGGCACGGCTTTTGCTAGGGCTCGTGTTAGCAACGTCGTCAGGTTTGAGCCACGTGAGCTCACCTACTAGTTCGGCGAATCTAGAATAACTTCTCGAGAATAGGTAGGAAAAAAGAAAGTAGATACGCCGTTACACTAACTCATAGATAAGTCGTACGTTTGATTACTATCCTTCCAGAACACGTTCTTTCAGTGGCCAGATATTTAATTTACTCGCTTGCTTTGAGGCCGCAAATTACCGGTAAAATAATAAAATACTATCCAATAGTATGCGGAGATGCGATTAAATCACCACGTATAAAACAATGTACGAAGTGTTAGTGGAATTATATTATTTGCATCGATCAGTGGGATTGGTTTGATTATAATTTTTTTATTTGTTTTTTCGACACAATTATTCTCAACCAGCTGTGTGACCATCACTTACGTTTTTCAACTTAACTTTCGTTTTTCATTTCTACAGCTTTTTAAGTAGGTTTTATGTCAATGCATTACTGAATAATTGTAAATAGACATGCTCTAACAAAAATCAACTTCAAATAAATAAAAAAACATTCCAAAAAATATTCCAAAACAAATTAATATACATTAAAAACAATAATCATCGACATCGGTTGGCGTGATATTGAGTTATTCATCTATTTTTCGCGCACGTACTTAATGCAAATTTAAGACATATATGGTTCTCTCATGGACACCATTATCAGAACTGGACTAAATTAAAATGGGACCACACGGGAAGTGTCAGCTTTCTAATAAAAAAAAGAATCATCAAAATCGATTCACCCAGTCAAAAGCTATGAAGTAACATACATAAAAAACATATAGTCGAATTGACAACCTCCTCCTTTTTTGAAGTCGGTTAAAAAGGGAACCGTACACTGAAATAGCTGGTGGACAAATCGGCTGCCCGCTGGTAAGTGGAACATGATTCATGGCCTAAATTATGTGGTCACCAATGTCAGGAGCAGAGCCAAGCAGCAGCCTACCACTGAGGACTCTTCTCAGATATCACTGCAAGAAGAACATCTTAAATCGTTCGGAAAGACTTTGAAAGGAATATCATTCTAAAGCCGGATGGTACGTACGCAAAGAAAATATCTGGAAACGCACTATGGATGAATGCAGCGGTTACAGATATGTAGTATGAATGAACTTTGCGATGATGGCGGGCGGTGCGATGCTTAAAAGAAGATGAAGGAATCATCTCAAGCAATTCCTCAAAACTTTCCCGACGGAATACACGGTAAAAACAAATAAAAACAACATAAAAATGATATTGGACTCCAATATACTTATGTATGTGTGTGTGTGTGTGTGTGTGTGTGTGTGTGTGTGTGTGTGTGTGTGTGTGTGTGTGTATGTAATAAGTGAGATACCTTAAAATACCTTCGAAATCGGTATAGTTTATCATCTAGTTATTATTATTATTATTTAATACAATACATACTTTGAAATACATTAATTGAAGCTGAAAAATATTTAATAACTCACCGTTTACTTGTTAGACGTCCGTTTCCTTAACAGGACGCGTGTGAAATAAATGTTGATTCAGTCAGTTTCTTTTTTTTATTATACTGTTTTTAAAATGCGATGCGTATTATGCGCTTATGGCGTATAATATTTTGTTATAGCGTTTAGAACAATAAAACGAAGCCATAAATTAAGTATTATAAATATATATTTTTAATAGTTAAGCTTCATGATGACCTAAGACGATCGTGACTCAATAAAATCTACGAGAATGCTGCTACCTTCAGACTTGAGGTGGAAAAGTTGGGTTAGCGATTGCAGCAATTAATTGGTAATGTGCAAAGTAATTTGTTTGTTTGAGATGATACCATCATCTCGTTTTTACCACCAGAGTAGAGTTCATCCATACTACCTGGAGCCACTGCGTTCATCCACAGTGCGTTTCCAGAGATCTTTTTTGCCACGTACCATTCTGCTTTGGAATGAGTTCTCCTCCACGGTGTTTCCCGAGCGCTATGACATGCCCTTCTTCAATCGAGGCTTGCGGAGAGTACTTAACGGTAGGCAGTGGATTGGCTCTGCCCCTGTCATTGCTGAAGTCCATGGGCGACGGTAACCACTAACCATCAGGTGGGCCGTATGCTCGTTTGCCTATATGGCAATAAAAAAGGTAATTAGGGTACATTCTGCGGTAGACAATAGAGAGAGAGACAAAGCTGTTTCTTTTCCCATTCCTACCGATATCGACTGTTCAAAGATTCTAATAATAATTAAAAAAACTCAGGTAAATCGCTGTTTATCAAAGTTCGAAGGTAATTTTAGTAAAAAAATTGGGTTCATTTATTAAAAAAAATCTAACCTTAATAGGACACACTTTTTCGTTACGGACGCTACAAACATAATCCATTACATGTTTTCTTTATTGTTTGCGATGCTATCTATTCTAACGATATCCGTGTATGATGGTACATTACAATAATTACTGAGGTAATAAGGAATGCATAAATAAATAATTTTAATAAGTATTAGTCTTTAATTGTGCATGAGCTAACAGTTAAGTCATTGTGGCCTAAAGGATAAGACGCCCGGTGCATTCGTATCGGGCGATGCAACGATGCCAGTGTTCGAATCCCGCAGGCGGGTACAACTTTTTGTAATGAAAAACGTAATTAACAAATGTTCACGATTGATTTCCTCGGTGAAAGAATAACATAGTGGAATAAAATTTGGAACCCGTGTTTTTTTTTAAATTGCGTAATTACTCTTTGTAGGGCGCTTTGTGAGGCCACCCCATGTGCATCTAACTGATTATTTTGGTCGCGATGCAGTAATCGGTTTAGGTTTCAGGGGTATGGCAACTATATCCTATAGAACTGAGAGCTCAGTGTGCTTAGTGAGAGTTTTTTAACGTTCTCGATAGCGTAAAAGTTAACTCGAAATCGTATACAGTTGGAACAGCGCCCCTAGCGGCAAACGTAGGCAAACGTTCCAACTCCATACAAATTTTGAGTTAACTTTTACGCTATCGTGAACGTTATAAACTGGCACTAAGCACACTGAACCAATGTCAATGGCTTTTACGTTGTTGATGTCTATAGGCTCCGGTAACCGTTTAACACCAGATGAGCCGTGAGCTCGTTTAAGCGACTAAGTTAGTGAATTATTAAATTTTTTGTTTCATTTTGACTTAAAATTTTTACAGTTACCAAATGAAGCCTCACAATTTTTTTTTTATTTTTTTTTGGTCAAGAGGAAATCGCCGGACTTCCGCCCTCCCCTGGGGATGGAGGGCGGGGCATGTCGCAGTCGAACTGACTAAAACCTCCTGTCGCTCAACAACCCGCGTCCGAACCTCGCATGAGACAGAACCCATGAAAAGGCAAAGGGGGGAAAGTGAAGCGTTTAGTGCGGAGCACATCTCTCCCATCACCCTCCCCCTCGGGACGCCGGACCAGCGGTCGTCGGCGCCACGACCACCAGCCCTCTCGGTAAGCCTCACAAATTAGCGTATTATAAATGTCGCTTCTGGTAAATTGTTGGCTATGTTTTAATTTAACTATATATAAAACGCCTTGACCCACAGAATTTTGTACGCACGATCACTTTCCTGGCGCCAGAGTGTTACACATACATACATGCGAATGCCACATAATATTCACGCTTTGAATGTTTCGTGGTGGACACTAATGTTTTATCAGTCGCAGACCCAGACACTTTTAGTATGAGACGAATGAAATTTTACAGGATTTCATAGATTTTCGTTAGTCGCAGATATCTATATGTCAGCCGGCGTCAGGGATGGCTGAGCGGTAGGTTCCGTCATCGCTTGTATTCGATTGAACTCAGTTTAGTCAATAAAACTTTTCAGTAATAATTATTGAAACTCAACACACACAACTTTCACAATGACAGGGTAAACCGACAGTTTCGTTGCATATACCGACAGACCGACTGACTGACTGACAGAGACTCACTGACTGAGACGGACGGAATTACTGTCTGACACGGAATGCTACGACTCTGTCCACGTACCGCCATTTTATACTGTGGCGTTACGGAGTCTACCCTTCGTTTTGTGATATTTATCAAAACAACATTTCATCATTTAAAATAATAATCAAAACCACCGTCTTAATATTACTAAAGTCGTTATCCACGACAACTAAAAGTCGTTATCCACGACATATATATATATATATAGGTATATATATAAATGAATTGCTGTTCGTTAGTCTCGCTAAAACTCGAGAACGGCTGGACCGATTTGGCTAATTTTGGTCTTGAATTATTTATGGAAGTCCAGAAAAGGTTGATAAATGAATGAAAATGCTCGGAATTAAATAAAAATAACAATTTTGTTTTTCCTTTGATGTGTCCCCCGTCGCACGGATTCCTTTTGTTTGTTTTAAGTTTATTTTATACAAAAGTTTAGGTCTTTTATTTATCGATTGAGGCACTACAAAGTCTGTCGGGTCAGATAGTTATAATAAAATTCATTGTACCGTTTGTAGCGTCAGAAATAAAATAATGCCAATAAACAAAAGCTGTATTAAACCGTAATTTTGTTTTTATTGCTTAGGTGGGTGGACACGCTTACAGCCCACTTGGTGTTAAGTGGTTACCGGAGCCCGTAGACATCTACGCCGTAAATGCCGCCACCCACCTCGAGACATAAGTACTAAGGTCTCAGTTATTACAGTACAACGGCTAATTGTTTTGTACTACTAGTAAACAGTGGTCTCGCATATAAATAGGAACAAAAAATATACATATATATTCGCGCGTAACATTTAACGAATATTTGAGGTCACCTTGACACAGTGTACGTAACTTGGTATGTTGCAAATAAATTTCGGTCGTAACCGGAAACCTTGTGTAACTTGATTGATATCTTTGTATTTAGATAATAAATTGTGACTTATCGCAAACTAGCCTTTAGCCGCGGCTTCGTTCTTGTTAATTTAGTAAGAAAAATATCTCCCCGGATCCTTTTTGCTAGATGAAAGTTGGCTTTTGTCTGCTAGGGCCGCCGTACCGCGGAGACCGGCGTCATTGGTCATCGACTATCGCCTCGACGACCCGTCGGTCGGGCGTCCTCGGGGTGGCGCCGCGGGTCTGTCTGTAGTGTTGACCGCGGGAACCCCCCTACTCTGACCGGGTTCTGACCCCGGAAGGAGATCGAACGTCGGGTGTAAGAGTGCAGGGGAGTCGTTTAGTGCGGTAGGGCCCTAAAATCCTTTGGGCCCGCGGTCTGTTCCCAACACCTGCAGATCGTCAAGTCCCACATACCCCGCGCGCCCCCTAGGCGCGTGGACTCCGTAGGAGGTTCGGACCCAGGTTCGAAAAAAAAAAAATGTCTTTGTCTGGACTCTTGGCAGCTTCTATGCACAATCATGACGACCGGTCGAGTATAAGACGTGAAAGCGTAAAAAAAAAACGGAAAAACTCAATTTGATATTTATAATAATAAACTATGGATATAATTTACGTAACCACTAGATATATATAGATACAGTTTCGCTGCACAAAAGAATTGATTTTGTTGTTGATGAAGGCTTTGAATATGACTGTCAACGCTATTTTGAAATGTGGGATCGTAGGGTGAAATCTAGTGGATTTTAACACTAAAATCTATTTGAAAAAAAAAAAAAAAACTCATTGACGTTCATCTTATTATCACGCAAATCTGGTATGCCAGTTTGAACTAACTAAAAACTGTAATAATAAGAATGTAAATCCAATCCGATCTATCCACATTTAAACATACTAGTATATCTTTTTTTTTTTTTATTGCTTAGATGGGTGGACGAGCTCACAGCCCACCTGATGTTAAGTGGTTACTGGAGCCCATAGACATCCACAACGTAAACGCGCCACCCACCTTGAGATACAAGTTCTAAGGTCTCAAGTATAGTAACGACGGCTGCCCCACCCTTCAAACCGAAACGCATTACTGCTTCACGGCAGAAATAGGCAGGGTGGTGGTACCCACCCGCGCGGACTCACAAGAGGTCCTACCACCAGTACAAGAGGTCCTACCACCAGTACAAGAGGTCCTACCACCAGTCACAAGAGGTCCTACCACCAGTACAAGAGGTCCTACCACCAGTACAAGAGGTCCTACCACCAGTCACAAGAGGTCCTACCACCAGTATCGAGGGTGAAATGCTATTTGGTTTAAGCTACATTTTACTTAATACGCGACATTTATCTTTGTAATTAAAGGTGCATTTTATTTGGTATTAACATCAATAGTCCGATATTTTTATTTGAATTTCAATTAAGTTTACTCCATTGCAATAGCTGAAGAAGCTTTATGTTATGATATGTTTTCTAAACTTTAAACTTTATATGGTTCTCCTCTAAAGTTGGAAAAATGTCGCCTAAACCCCTTTTCACCCCTTAAAATGATATTGTCAAAGATTTTGCCGGTTTACTACGGTTAAGCTATTAGTGTGTTATTTCGACGTTCCACATGGTATAAAAGTTATCGAATAATTAGAATTTTCATACGAAGTTACGAAATTTTAAAAGTGGTGTTTGCGTTCGTACGAATTAATCTGACAATTGAATGAATTGAAGTCGTCGTGGCCTAACGGATAAGACGTCCGGTGCATTCGTGTTGAGCGATGCGCCGG